GACTGGCCTGCGGAAAGGGACACTGTGTTCCAACAGCACAAGAGCCAGAGGAGCATGAAGAAGTGAGACAGCGTGGTTGTGGGGGGGGGGAGATCAACTGCACGGCTTGCCTATTGGTTCCAAAAAATACAAGTTGAGCGCTCAACTCTGTTTTGCCACATCACAAAGTGCTACTTGCGCAAAAGAGATGGCAACAGGCTGGTTCCAGAAGACGATTGCGGTGCGCGCCAAGGCCCGCGGCTGCCATCTCGTGACGGACGACGTGGTGCGGGCGATTGGAGCCGAAAATCTGCGACCTTTCAAGATTGGCCTCGCTCATCTGTTTATCTTGCACACCTCCGCCTCGCTTTCGATCAACGAGAACTACGATTCCGATGTGCGGCGCGACATGGAAGATGCCCTCAATCGCATCGCCCCCGAAGAAGGCGTCAACTATCGGCACTCGATGGAGGGCAAGGACGACATGCCTGGTGAGTGCACTACACGCAACATTTTTAATTGTTTCTTTTATATATTTATCCTAAAAAGAGCAAATTTTTATATTATTTTTTCATTTTAAACTATGACAAAACTCATACGCCTGCGCAGCACACGTGAAGGCGTCGCTGTTGGGCGCTGGCCTGACCATTCCCATCACCGACGGGCGCTTCCACCTGGGCACCTGGCAGGGTATCTGGCTGTGCGAGCATCGCGACCACCCTTGTGCGTTCCACCTATCACACCATCTTGGAGACAAACCAAAAGCACCAGCTGGACTTACGTGGGTCTTCTTCCATATGTGTGTGTCGTGTGTGTGTGTGTCGTGTGTGTCGTGTGTGTGTGTGTGTGTGTCGTGTGTGTTGGCACCACACAGCCACGCGTAACATTGTGGTGACCATCCAGGGAATGAAGCAGGACAGCTGAACGAGCGTCAATCCACGCGGTGTAGATACATTGGCGCTGAACATCGATATTTATTGCCCCATCGCATTCCGTGTGTGTGTTGTGTGTGTTGTGTGTGTTGTGTGTGTGTTGCGGGATGTGTTCATGCTTCAGAAAGGATTCGAATTTAGTTAGTTGAAGGAGCCTTCTTTCCTCTCCGCGACCAGCGTGACGGGCGCGTTGCACTGCTGCATCACACTCAACGACGGCGAGCCCAGGACCGCCCTGGGCGCGAGCAATCGCAGCAGACGTGTGTACACCCAAGTAAGCCCACATATCTCCCTCTGCCACACGACACGACACAACACGACCAACGACACGACACACAGGCGCCTACCTTCTGGCCTCGGAAGCAGCGGCGCGCTTCCCGAGAATGACGCTGCCGGCGTTCAGGCGGTCGGCTATGCCGCACACCTTCTCGCCCAGCTCGCTGTTGGTCGCAAACTCGAACTCGCGGTACGCGCAGCGCCTCTGCGCGTGTCACATGCGTCATACGGCGACATGCGTCAGCCGCCACTTGCATGCGTGTCGTGTGTGTCGTGTGTGTCGTGTGGCGCAATTGCGAGGTTGGCTGGCTACGTACGCCGTTGCGCTCGCAGAGGGAGAGGAACTTATTCTTCACGCGGCGCATCTCCCGCTCGTCCTCGATTTTGCTGTCGATGGCGCCCGGCGGCGCGAAGATGCCGTGAACCAGCAGCAGGGTATGACCGCGCGGAATGTTCCTGTGGTGGAGAGGCAGCAATTGCTCCCATATCAGGCTATAGCTAGAGTCGTGTGTGTGTGTCGTGTGTGTGTGCCGTGTGGCAACGCACCTTAGAGCGTAGCGGAAGGCCTGATCGGAAGCGATGCTCGAGTCGACGCACACGAGATCTACGTCGCTCTGTCAAACAGACCAAAGACAAGGTAAGCGCTTTCCCCACCACATCACTGCACCATCCGCGCGCGTGGTGTGCGTGTCGCCCCCCACCTTGAACTTGACGTCGGCGATGCGATCCTCGGGAAGACGCTCCTCTTGCTTCGCCTTCTCCATCCCAACCACGACCAGCCCTTCCTCCCTTCTTCTTTCTCCTCCAACCCCATTTCTCTTTCTACTTCCGCCACTCTGGGCCGCACCTTCTGTTCTTTCTTCTTCTCCATCTTTTCCTTCATCATCTTCCTCTTCGCCCCCTCGTCGACGTCGACGTCGTACAGGGCCGCCTCATCAGCGCGGTCATCATCGCCGCCGATCCAGCGACGGCCCGACCGGCCCGCGCGCTGGATGCCGTCGCCCAGGTCCTCGGTGAACCGCTCGGCCGTGCGCCCGACGTCCTGGCTCCAGCCCCGCAGACGGCCGCCCAGCTTCTCCACCTCGCTGCTCACATCTTCGCCTATCTCGCGGCTCGCGCGCCGCACCTTCCGCCCCACCCGCTCGGGCAGCGGCGGCTCGTCGACCAGCTCCTCGGCCTCGTCCCACATGCCCTCCCGGCGCGCCCACTCCCTGTCCCTCTCCCTGCTACACACATAGAATAGAGCAGTGAGTGGGGACTGACGGTACCTCTCAGATCACTCCCATGTGTCGTGGTGCGTACCGGTTTCTCTCTCTTCTATCCATCGTCGATGATCGTGTTCTGGTGGTGGTGATGGTTTGGTTGGTGTTGGCAACTCGATTGTGCTCGAGGCCCCAGCTTGCATGGAGAGAAGAGAGGTGAGATCTGGCCAACTACATTGGTTTGAGCAGGTTTTCCAGGACTTCTCGTCAACTGGACGACCATTCTTCCACCACCGCAAGCCCACACATTCCGCAGCGGCTCCAATCACGACCAGCTGTATAAAAATATAAAACAACTAAATGAAAGTGTTTTTGACAAAATAGTATTTATTTATTTGTTTGTTATTTTAGTTTTTGTTTTAGTTTCTGACGTCGGTGATATCGTGGGGGTTGCCCTCGGCGATGCCCGCGAAGCCCTGCGTCCAGAGGGCGGCCTGCTTCTGGAAGGTGGCGATGTCGCCAGCGCCGGTGTGGGCCAGACCGGCCTGGATGCCGCCCACGAGCACGTTCAGGACGCGCACGACGCTGCCCTTGTACTCGACCAGGCCCTCGACGCCCTCGGGCACCATCTTCTGGGCCTGGCCCGTGGTCAGCTCCTCGGCCTGGTTGGCGCCGTCGCGGTAGTAGCGCCCGCGGCTGCCGCTCCTCGACTCCATCGCCGCACGCGAGCCCATGCCGCGAATAGTCTTGTAGCTCTTACCGTTCTTCATGATGATCAGACCTATGTTGATGTGTGCCGTGCCGTGCCGTGTCGCGTCGCGTCGCGTGTCAGGAAACGAACGAGGAGCTGGGCTGCGGCAGAATGTGAGGGGTCGATGTGGGCGTACCGGGCGATTCCTCAGTGCCGGCGAGCATGGAACCGAGCATGACGGCCGACGCACCCGACGCCAGGCACTTGACGATGTCGCCGGAGCTGCGCACGCCTCCGTCGGCAATGATCGGCACATAGTAGCCGGTCTTCTTACCAAAGTCTGTGGTGTTGTGTTAAAAAACTGCGAAAAGCTGTGTGTGAGCGGGTGGGCGACGTACCTTGCACAGCGCGCCAGACCTGGAAGATGGCAGTGACCTGCGGGATGCCGTGGCCGGTGACGCTGCGAGTCGTGCAGATCGAACCCGGTCCGATACCCACCTAAGACCAAAGAAAAATAGAGTTAAATAATTGATATATCAATAAAAACAATTGAGAAATTAAATAAAATAGTGGGGTGCCTCAGGAGTAGTTGTTGTTGTTGTAGGTGAGCTCATGCAAGCAGTCGTATTGCAGTTAAATTTTAGCATCATCGGTCCCCCCCAAGCAGCCAAAGGCTAAGAAAAAGCGGGGGCTAAGCTACCTTGAGGGCGTCGGGACGCGCGCCCTGCTCGTCCTCGAGAAGATACATGGCCGAGTCGTAGGAGGCGATATTGCCCGCAATGATCTCCACGCTGTCGCCCAGCTTGGCCCTGATCGCTCTGATCTGTTCCTTAGCTGCACAGACGAGAGAACGAATGTAAGCTTCGCTCTCTCTCTCTGTGTGTGTGTGTCCTTAGGCCTGTTGTGTACGCACCAGGCTTGCATGCGCCGTGGGAGGAGTCGAGAACGAGCACGCGGCAGCCGTTGGCCACCAGCAGCTCGGCTCTGGCGATGTCGTCCTTGCCCAGGCCGATGGCGGCAGCCACCAGGAAGTGACCCTCGTCGTCGAGCGAGAACTTGTCCTTGTTGTTGACGTCCCTCTTGAGATCGCCCCACACGTACATGCCTGTCGCAGGTCGAACACAGTAATGAGTCACCGCACACGCACCACACACACCACACACACATACACACACACACGAGGTGTCGAGCAGCTTACCCTTGAGCTCGCCGGACGGGGCGACGACGGGCAGCTTCTTGACCTTCTTCTCCTTCATGATCTTGTAGGCCTCGTTGCTCGACGTGTCCTCCGGGGCGGTGATGATCTGGTCCAGCTTCTTCATGATGTCGCCGAGCTTGGGGTTGTCGTCGGTGTTGACAAAGTCCATCTCGTCGCGGGTGATGAGACCCAGCAGCTTGCCCGCCTCATCCACCACCGGGAAGCTGGTGAACGTCCAACGCCTCATCGACACTTCCTGGAAACGCGTTGGCCCCAATCGCTGTCAGCCTTTGTCGCACGACACGCACACGGACAGAAGAGAGAGAGAGAGAATGTGAACCTTCTGGAGGTAGGAGTAGTAGTCGTTGGGTCGGAAGGTGATGGGCTTGTCGATCATGCCGTCGGAGTTGATCTTCTTACGGATCCACTTGACCATCTGCGCCTGGGCCTGCGCGTCCAGGTTCCTGTGGAGCACGCCGATACCGCCGTTCTTGGCCATCGCCAGCGCCATCTCCTGCTCCGTCACAGTGTCCTGCACACAACACGACACGACACACAGTTAAGCGCTGCGCACACGCACGGCCGCACGCGCGGGGGCTAAGTGGTAGGTGGAGTACCATGGCAGCGCTGAGGATGCCGCAGCTCTTGAGGCTAATCTTGCGCGTGATGAAGGAGCGGACGTTGACCTCGTTCGGGTGGAACATGGAGGGCTTGTCCTCGAGCGTGACCTCGTCGAAGGTGAGGGCCTCGCGCTTCTTGTTCTTGCGTTCGAGGAGGCTCACCGTCTCCTGGCTGAGCTGCAGGCCCTGCGGGTAGGTATCGGCAAACGTGCGCCTTCCGGTGCGCGGTGACTGCTGCTTCTCTTCCATCTCTGAACGCCGGCAAGTGGAGCGGGTAAGCTTTGTGGAATCAATAAAGCAAATTGTTTTCAAATGATTAAGAAAACAAATCGTTAATCTCGAAAAATCTTGTAGAGAGCACTTGTGGCGATGGTGATCTACATGAGATTTGCACTTGGATCGTAGCGCTCATGCGTTCACATATGAAGACACCATAGCAAGAGGCCCAAAACAACGTAAAACAGCAAGATCTGCAGAAAGCAGCGAATCTGTAGTTCAAGATGGCTGGCGAGTAGCGGAGGTTGGTCTTAGGTGGTACCGATATGTGTGTTTATGTGAACGAGCGTTGTGTGCTGGGCAGAGCCACAGATGAACGGAGGAGAAGAGAGACGGGAGAGAGAGATGGGCAGGGAGTGGATCCTTCCCGGAACTGTGCGGAGGGTCAGAATGACAATGCCAAGACGGTCCTCCCGCATTTTTATATTTTTCTTTTGTCCACTCCGGCGCATTCCACGGAGTCAAGACTGCATTCTTTGGCCCGACCCAATCGCCGCCAACTATGCAAAGAGACGCGGCAGTTCGTCGAAGATGGCGGGACCCAACGCCTCGCCCGCGCCCGCCACCGCACACGCGGAAGATATGCTGCGCATGTATAAAAGATATAGTTAATATATATTAACATTACGATATGAACTTACGATATGTTAGATAGGAGGGAGGAGTACCACTTGAGGGTCTTGGTGTTGGGTCTGATCCCGAGTCGTCGCATCTCGGTGAGGATGGAGAGCACCTTCTGCCGGAACTCCTCCTCGCCCAGGGCCGCGGACCGATCGCCATCGACGTTGTGGGTGGTGCTGTCGACAACGGAGGCCCTGCGTCGCAGCTCCTCGAATCCGCTGAGTTCGATCAGGCTGTTGAAGAGCTTGAGGTTGGGCTGCACGCCCTCGCTCTGCATCTCCGAGAACAGGAGGTAGGACAGCTCCGCTCGCTCCTTCTCTCGCTCCTTCTCCTCGCCACTCGCCTTGCCACTGAAACGCACGACACGACACGATGTTAGCAACACGCAAAGAGAACATGCACGAATGTCGGTCAAAATCGCGCGCAGTCGCATTAGCAGTTAAATTGTGAGCATCAGCGGTCTGTCCCAGCAAACAGTTAAAAAATAAAAGAAATTGACCAACGAACCTGGAGGCCGGCCGTTGCTCGGGCTGGACCTTCCGCTCGGTGCTCAGTATCGTGTCCACCATCACCAGATACGTCTGGAGGTTGGGCCTCACCTGCCGCTTCTTCATCTGCGTTGCAAATATTTTAAGGCGAAGGTCCAACACCACCTACGACACAACACGCACGACACGCGCATGCACGCACGCGACACAAGGCACACATGACACACGTATGTCGACCGAGCGTTGGTACCTGGCTGTAGAGCACGGTGACCTCGCGGACCCGGTTTTCGCCATAGGCGGCGTGGAATCGCATGAGCGAGTTGAACACCGTGAGGGACGAGCCGAAGCCCTCCTCCTTCATCTTGTGCAGCAGCTTGGCGAGCCGGGCCCGGTCCAGTTGCCTGCGCGCTCCCTCCACGATGCCCACGACGTCGGCGCCGGCTGGAGCCACTGGGGCGGCCTCGTTGGTGGCGTAGACCTTGAGCAGGTCGAATAGGATGTCGTCCGTCACCACCACGCCGTACTTCTTGATGAGCTGCCACAGGCTGACCTGCTGCTCCTCTTTCTTTTCCTTCGCGCCGTCAGCCTTTCGCTTCTTCGCTTTTTCCGCTTCGCTTTCGTTCTTTCCGTCGTCGCCGGCGGCTGCGCCGGCTTCGTTGGTGGTCGGTGCGGAGGGTGGGAGGATGAAGGCCTCGAGCTGCTGCGGGCCGGCAAAGGCGAACGAGTGGATGGCGGCGTTGATGGTCTTGGCCGTGGGCTGGACGTTGCTCCACTTCATCTCCTCGAGGACTTTCGTGAGACGCCCCACATCGATCGCTTTCTCCCTCCCGGCGCAGTAGACCATCAGCGAGTAGTTGTCCTGCGACACGCACACCACCGCACTTAGTTTGCCGATGTGCGCGAATGTCGTGTGTCATGTGCGTCGTGCGTATCGTGCGTGTCGTGCGTGTTGTGTGTGACGCTTACCTCGGCTAGCTTGATATTTTCCTCCTCTACGAGGAAGCGCACAACGCTGAACATCTCCTCGACCTCGCCCAGCGAGGCGTAGCAGCGGATGATCGAGTTGACCAGAATGTTGTCCAGCCGCACTTTCGCCTTCTTCATGGCCCGCATGACCGCCTCCATGCGCCGTCGCTTCGACTGCAAGATGCGAACCCGCTCCTTCTCATCCATCGCGTAGAGGCCGTCGTCGTCCTCTTCCTCGCCCGTCTTCACCGCCTCGCCCTCCTCATCGCCCGCCTTCTCTGTCTCTGTTGCCGCGGCCGCCGCCGCCGACGTGCGCGTTCTGAACTCGAGCGCGTCGCGGGCGCAGCACTCGAGGAGAATCGAGAAGGTGCCCTGGTCCGGCTGGATGCCGGCGGTCTGCATCTGCTTGTAGGTCTCGAGCACGCGATCGACGTCATCCCTGCGGGCAAAGGTGTTCATGAGCCCGTTGTAGCCGGCGAGGTCCATCTCGACGCCGCGGTCCTTCATCTCCTGCCACACCTGATCGGCCCTGGTGTCGTCGCCGCGGCTCGAGTAGGCGCCGTACAGCACGCTGTAGGTCACCCGGTCCTTGTCGACCCGGCTCTGCGCCATGTCCTGCAGGATCTCCTCCATCTTGCCCAGGTAGCCGGCCTTGGCCAGCGCATCGAGCACCAGGTTGTACATGTAGACGTCCACCTTCCACCGCGAGTCCTCCATCACAGGCGCCTTTTCCTTCCTGCGCCCGACAATGCGTCAGATTTCTTTTTAAAATCACACGACACGACACGCAACAACAACAACAACACACACAACGCGCGACACGCACGAGAAAGCACAAGCCTACCTGGAGGCGGCTTCGTCAAGCGCTTGACGTATGCGTTCGTCCTCTTGGCGTTCCCTGGATTTGAGCATGTTGTAGACGTAGAGCATGCCCTCGATCTTGCGCATCTTGCCCAGGCTGGCCAGGATGATGGTGAACTTGCGCCGCTCGTCCTCGTCCTCCTTGATCAGCAGCTCTCGCGCCTTGTACTCCCTCTCCTCGGCCGACTCCTTGCGCTTGGGGACCGCCGGCTTCTTCGCGGCCGCGTTGCTCCCCTGCCTGCTGTCCTTCTTCAGCTCCTTGGCCTGTTGCTCGTATCTCTCCTTGGCCCTCGTGCGTTCATCTTCGAACGTGAGCTGCGGCAGCAGCGATACCACCTTGTCCGACAGGATCGTGGGCTCTCTGTACAATTGCTGCATCGTCAGGGCTGAGCACACGCACACGCACACGCACACGCACACGCACACGCGTCCGTGCAGTACCTTTGGTCGCTGGTCTTGCGGAGGAAGCCTACGAATTGCCTGGCGGTGACGGGGTTCTTGTTCCGGAGCAGGTTGGTCAACTTCTTGACCATTTGCTCGTTCTCCTTGGTGGGCAGCGATACACGCGCACCACTCGGCTCGGAAGGAGGCTTGACGGCGCCGTGATTGGGGTGTCTGTGCTCACAAAGGTTGGCCGGTGGCCTCTACATACACATCATTTGTTCTGCTAAGAATCGGAAACGGCAAGGTCGTACGATTTGGCAGGGCGGGTGGCGAATCTTCGCACAACGGGGAGGCCAACGTGGAGCCCAGGCCTGGCACTCGACACGAGAGGTGGCAGCTACATGCATGGCCGTGGTCGATGGAATTAGATAGAATTAAATTGAGCGATGATAAAATTGAGTACCGGAGCTGTGAACAGGGGTTGACGGTAATGCACTAGCAGCGAATTGCTTCGGCTCACAAAGCTATGGCCGCGCCAGCACAGGGGCACCGATGGCTGCGAGAGTCTTGCGCTCCTCATCTTGTGTTGACAAAAGAAAAAAAAAGAAATGGAACAGAACTTGCAAGAAAAGGAAATGTTTATTACGCCCACAGGCAAGCAGCCTACAGGAAGGCGGTGGGTGACGAAGGAACGCTAGCAGTTCACTTAGCTGCGACCCTTCTTGATGACGATGAAGAAGTTCTTCTCGAACTCGATCTCCAGCTTCTTGATGTCGATGTCAACGTCGATATCCTTGCCGCCACGCCTCCTCTGGTCGTAGTGGTCCGCCACGGCCTGTCTGATCTCGCCATAGTGGTACTCGTTGATGTCATCTAGAACGCGTTTTGATACACAGAGAGGGTGTTAGCTATAACGTTAACAGCAGCTCGGTAGTGGGCGGTTTGACACTCGTACCAGTGACTGCAGCGGTCTCGTAGTCCTGGCCGCCCCTGCCTTGGCCAAACACGGCGGCCACGAAGAAGCAGACGAGGAGAGCGACGATGGCGAACTTGACGATTTGCATTGCTTGCTGGTGATGGTTGAGGCTTTGTAGGCTGTTGTTGTTGCTGATGATGTTGTTGTTGTTGATGATCCTCTGGCTCAGGACCAGAGCTTTTAGCGTCCCGCCCTGGGTTTGGTGGCCGGTGTTCCGGCCAACCAGTTGGTGGTGCCTCTCTTCCCTTTCCTCGGCCTTAGCTACACCATAACGCCCAAAGCTGATTGGCCGATTTTTTTATGCAGCTCAAATTGTTGCATCACCACACGGCTCTCGCGCGAAGAGACGCCTGGAGTGAGGAGAATAGCAAGAGTCTCCCCAGGGGCCTGTGCCCGTCTTGTTTTGACTGTACAGCGATCGCAACACACCACCTGGTGGGGGATGAGCGAAAACAAGACACTTTAGGAGATCCAACGATCGTTCCCAGTCCCACCGGTCATGTCGTCGCAGCAGACCCTTGTGGGTCCGGCCCTGCGGCTTGCGGCCTGAGGCTTGGTTCTGTGTGACGCACGGTGAGACGAGCATGGCAGCCGTTGAAGGTCCGAACTCCTTTGTCGCCGCAATTTCAGGAATGTCGGTAGCGCTACGCTGGCATTCTGCAGATTCCTCTGCGGCTCTCGCGGCGTCCGTTGGCTGGACTGACCTGGAGGCCGTGGCAGAGGGGCCATCGTACAGGTGATGAGCCATCCCCTATGCTCCCCTTCCTAGGACCACCGGTCCAATGTCCGCCCAGTCGTGCAACCGCCAACCACAGGCAGAGTCAATGGCAAGTCAAACTCCTCGTGCCTTGGCCCCAAACCCAGTTTGGGGTGGAGTTGAGGAGACTCGGACAGAGGCCAGGCCCCTTCACACCGACCGACGAAGTGTTCATCTCGCGTGCGATTCTCCTGGCTCTGTCTCCTGCTCTCCGTTCCTCATAAATAGGCCCTGTCTTCTGCCCCATCTATTCTCTTCATCTCCAACCTCTTCCGTCAAGAGGACAGATAGCCAAGCCAACTCCACAGCCTCTCGACCGCCACACATCAATTCTTGCAATAGAAATCGATTGTGCTTCGTCTTCACTGCCACTCACTTCGCCTCACTTCACTTCGCACTCTCACACGATGGGATCAATCACTCTGCAAGACGTGGCCATCGAGCACGCTATGCAACAGCACGACACCGGCCTCGTCCTTGATGAGGTGCAGCTCTTCTGCATTCTTTTTTTGTATTTAATATTCTTTTCTTTCATTTTCTTTTTGGTGTTACTGTGCGACTAACCTGGCAATGTTGTTTATTTCCAAAACCAGGTTCAACGCTTCTGTATGAGCACCCTCACGTTCATGACGGTAGAGCACGAGGAGAAGGCCATGGATCGACGACTGGCCAACTACGAGAACGTGTGCACCAAGGCCGAGATGGTGCTGGCCATGTTGCGCAAGTACAACCAGAAGCTCGATCAGGAGGATCGCCGGAGCGAGAAGCTTAGCCTCGCCCACACCCGCAAGCCGCTCGGGCTCACGTCGAGGCGATGAGCTTCATGGCGACCCATTTTTGTGACCCCCTCCCCCTCCAGAGTACCAACAACACGACATTTCTTTACACCACCAGTTTCAGCCTACCACGAACCGCACGACACGCACTCAAAAATCACATAACACGCATACCCAAGCCACTGGAGGTCTTTCACAAAACTTGCTCCAGAGCTCAAGTCAACTGGCGAAGAGAGAATTGGTCACCGCTTGAGAGGATGATGACGGAAGAACAACAAACTGGAGGAAGCTGGTGGAATGGCCCTACTCCTCTACTCACTTTTTGCTGTGCCTGACTGTGTGCGTTGGTGTGCAGCTCCCTCTCAACCGACCCACAACGTGGGATGAGGGGAAAGCCGACGATCAGGGTAGCGCTGATGACCAGGGGAACCCGACGAGAGCAGCTGCCGCTGCCACAGCGACAAAGGCACACGTGATGGGAAGAGCATGTTCATCCTCGACTTCTGGTCTACATCTTTAGAAAAGTGGTGTGGCTCTTCATGTCAGACCAGGCTGCGGCCGCTTGAAAACATAGAGTCCCCATCTTCGCCCTTACCGGCGAGCTCCTGATCCAGAAAGGCCAGCACCCGCTCCATGGTGGGCCTCCTGTCGGCCGCGGCGTGCCAGCACTTCTTCATCACCTTCCGCAGCTCGGCCGGGCAGTCAGCGGGCAGCTGCGGCCGCTTGCCCTCGAGCACGTCGAGCGACACGTTCATGAAGTTGCGCCCGGCGTAGGGCTCCCGGCGCGTGAGCACCTGCCACATGACCACGCCGAACGAGAACACGTCGGCCCGCTCGTCGTACTTGTCGCCGCGAATCACCTCCGGCGCCGTCCAACACGGCGTGCCGCACCGCGTCATCGTCGCGTTCTCCTCCTTGATCCGCGCGAACCCAAAGTCAGCCACCTTCACATTCCAGCTCTCGTCCACCTGCATTCCATGATGGCGGTGAGTAGAAGATTTAGTAGTGGTGAGTATGGTGCGGCGTACGAGGAGGTTGGAGGGCTTGAGGTCGCGATGCACGATGACGGGCTGGAGCGCGTGGAGGTAGTGGACGCCCAGCGCGGCCGAGCGCAGCAGGCGCAGCTTTAGCCGCCACGTCAGCTTCACCGCGGTGTTGGCCAGCAAGTCCCGCAGGCTGCCCCGCTGCACGAATTCCGTCACAATGCACAGATTCGGCCTCTTCACGCAGGCCCCTGTGTGTGTTGCGGGTGTGTCGTGTGTCGTGTGTCGTGTGTCGTGTGTCGTGTGTCGTGTGTCGTGTGTCGTGTGTCGTGTGTCGTGTGTCGTGTGTCGTGTGTCGTGTGTCGTGTGTCGTGTGTGTCAATGACAGAGACTACGACGAAGCGAAGGTGGCCTAGGGCGGTAGCGAGTACCGATGAAGAGTACTATGTTGGGGTGGTGGAGCTCCGAGAGGAAGGCCATCTCGGCGCGGAACTCGAGCATGCGGCGCTCGTCGAGCTTCTGCGTGATGAACCGCTTGACCGCCACCTCGACGCCCCGCCACCGGCCGCGGTGGACCAAGCCGTAGGACCCGAGGCCCACCTGCTCGCCCACCTGGATCTCGCCGTAGTCGATAATCCACCGACACAGATTGGCCGACGCGAGGAACAGGTCCTCGTGGTGCTGCGTCCCTTCGCCCAGGACCGTCTGCACCACTTTGGACCCGCCACCCAACGAGGGCATGCGGCCGCGGTGGTCGCTGTCATCGTAAAAGGCGCTGCGACTGAGATAGAACTCGCCATCGCCAGCGTCGCTTTCGTCGCCGTCCCCTTCCACGTCTTGGTCCGCGACTCCGCCGAAGAAGCGGCCCTCGAGCCCCGCTATCTTCATCTCGTAGAGTGTCAGCCCTATGTCGACAAATAACAGCAACAGTAAATAAGTCCAGGTGCGGGGCGCGAGGCTCCTTTGTTGGAGATCTGGCGTACCTCCTGGAGAGACGTCTGGCACTGCGAACCGGCCCAGACCCACCACTGGCCCCTGCGCGCTGGTGCCTGGCGCCTCATGCAAAGGGCTGGTGGCTGGCCCGGCTGCTGCAACGGGGGTGTCGTGTAGCTGTTCGCAGGCGGCGAGGCTCATGATGATCTGGCCGCCGTGGGCCATGGTCGTGATGCGCGCGGCCGTGTCGACCACGGGGCCTCTGTACTCCACGCGCCCCGTTGTCGGATCGCGCACCACCCGCACCGGGCCGAAGTCTACCCCCATCCTCACCCGCAGGCCCTTGTGCACCACCCTGCACGCGTTCACGTGTGAGTGTCGTATGTCGTGTGTGTCGTGTGTGTGTGTGTCGTGCGACGATGGCAGCGTACCGGTCATCGGTGTCGCCCCATTCCTCGGCGGCGCCCGGATGGGCGAGCAGTTCCTCGGGCCAGGCCACGCCGAGCAGCGCCAGCTGCGCCCCGCAGCACCAGGCCAACGCGTCCGACGCGTGCTGGAAGGCCATGCAGAACGAGCCCTCGCCGGAACAGCCGCTCCGGTCGCCCGCGAACACCACCTCGTACCCGCGGTTCTGTCGCTTCAGCACCGCCCGCAGCGTTTCGTTGTGCAGCAGCGTCGCATCGCGCATGGCCCAGGCGTTGAACTCCCACAGCGACGCAGCACGCGTGATGTCCGTGAACACCACTGCAATGTCGCCCCGCGGCGGGCGCACCGTGCCACCGCCCGTGGCCATCTGCGTCGATACCAAGTCCTTTGACGCGCTCGACGCCGACACCGACGCCGACGAGTCGTTGGTCGATGGGAGGCTCCACGAGGTGTCGCGGGAGCGGGCGCTCGTGAGCACGCCGGGCGGCACGCTGGAGAAAGACGATGTCGTCGAGGTCTTGGAGGTGAGCGAGGTCGTCACGCCCGAGCTCAAGTCAGCGCCGGTGTGCATGGCCGCGAGGCGGGTCATGATCTCGAGAAACGTTGGCCGGACGGTCGGGTCGGCGTGCCAGCAGCTCGTGATGAGCTCCGCAAACTCGAGCGGGCACAGGCCGGGCGTGGCCGGCATCTGGGGCCGGATGCCGTCGCGCATGACCGCCACCGCCACCGCCACCGGACTGGGTCAGCCGACCCAGTCAGTCGACATTATAACAATAAGAAAACAAAAACACTTGCTGACGTGGCCCACGTACGACATGCCGGCGTAGGGCTGCTCGCGCGAAAGAAGCTCCCAGAGGATGATGCCGAAGCTGTAGACGTCGGCCAAGAGGAAGTCCTGGCCAGCGGAGACGGACTCGTTGAGCACCTCGGGCGCGGTCCAGTGTAGGCTCCCTACGATGGCGTTGTCCTTGTACTTGCCGCCCTGCCGCACGTCCTCCTTGAACTTGGTAAGCCCAAAGTCGCTCACCTTCACATTCCACTTGTGGTCGAGCAGCAGATTGAGCGACGTGAGGTCCCTGTGCACTATGCCTGGAGCGCACGGCACGGCACGACACGACACGCACACACAAGCATCAGGTGGTGACCTATGATGCCATATCGAGTGGGGCTGGTGGTGCGTACCAGAGGAGTGGAGGAAGTGCATGCCCCTGGCGGCGTGGTAGCCCATCTTGGCCTTGAGGTTGAAGGGGATCTCGGCAATCAGGTCGTTGTGCAGCAGCTAACGAAGGCAAGAAGACCGTTATGAGCCGTCGCTCGGACAAAGGGAGAGTGGGGAGCGCACGTCGTAGAGGGACCCGAGCGCCATGTACTCCATGACGATGCACATCTTGGGCGGCCGGGTGCAGGCGGCCATGAAGAGCACCACGTTTGGATGCCGCAACGAGGTCATCACTCGCACCTGTTTGCCGACGTCGTCAACACTCGAGTAGGATGCGCACAGAGCGTGTGCGTGTGTGTGTGTGTTGTGTGTGGTACCTCGTCGTGGAAGTCCTTCTTCATGTCCTTTGTGACTTTGGCCGACGCCATCACCTTTACCGCCACTTCCGTGCCCTTCCAGACGGCCTTGTGGATGACACCGAATCCCCCTTGAACCGCCACCACAGTTTCAGGTATTTGAGCGGAATGTGGTGAGAGGCCTGGGTCTGTGGGAGTAGTACCGGCGCCCAGTTGCCTGCCGACCTCGAGTTCGTCGTAGCTAATCTCCCAGTCGTCCGATTTCTTTTTCTTACACCTCGCCAAGGCAATAATCATCACTGCCAGGCATGCACCCACCCCCAGGACCACCAATCCCACCGGGAAAATCGTAGCTGTACGACACACACACACAGAGAGAGAGAGAGAGACGACACGACACATATTGAATATCATGTTCGGTCCTGTGGTGCGAATGAAGTGGATTGGGAGAAGGACGAACCTAGGATTACGGTGACTGACCTGTCTGACGACGAACTTGCCACGCTCTCGCAGTATTGGCCCTCCCTCCCCCTGTCGCACACGCACGCATTGTTGGCGCACACCCCGGCGCCCGAGCACAGCTCGCCGTCGTTGATGCAGCCGTAGAGCTCGCTCACCGCCACCCCGCCGCAGGTGAAGTTCTGCAGCTGGTTGAGCATCCGTCGTTGGAGGGACTTGTCGCTCGACGCCAGAATGAACCCTTGCCTCTGGGCGATATGCTGCGACTCAGTGCTGGTCTGGGTCCAGGAGAAAAAGCTCGCTAGAGCGCGCGACTTGGCGCAGTCCTGCATGCGCCGATTGTGGTAGATGAACGACCCGAATGTCGCCAGCGGCCAGCTATCACTGCCCCCACCTGGCGTTTGCGTGCGTGTGCCATGTGTGTGCAGTGTGTGTCATGCGTTTGGCGTACGTCGGTCAAACTGCACGATCAGAGCGAGTTGAAGAGTGGGCCTCCGTACTGAGAATGATCTCGCCGTAGTCGGGATTGGGATTCTCGGCGAAGTAGTGCTTCACCGCATTCTGTATCGAGGTCTGGTTGGCCCGCACAATCACCCCGTCGCTGCGGCGCAGGTTGGCATGCTGTAGCACGCGAAACTGGTCACACACACACACACACACACACACACACACACACACACACCAATGCCCTTGGGCATGAGTCTCTCTCGGCACAGGGTGAGGCGACCATAGGAAAGGTGAGACGTACCAGTGTGGCGTCGTACAGGGTGACGAACGCAAACCCATAGTCAGTATCGGCCAGGACCCTGGGCAACGCGTCGTTGCTATTGACGGCGGTCGTAGTGTTGTAAGACTGCACGGGACTGGTCACCAGCGGTCCAGCACCCACCTGGACCGCGAACTTGGGCATGACGGCGCTGAGCATCGTGGTGAACAGCTGGGTGATGGCCGTCTCCACCGACTGTACGACCACATGGATAGCCTGCGCGGGCAGCGCCGCGGCCACCTCTGGCGTGTTGAGGGCTTTGATGCGCGCATCGTCCCACATCGTGATCTCCCTGGGACCAAACTACGGACGTCAGCTTCTCGCACAGCCAAGGCAAGCGCGTGCGTGCGTGCGTGCGTGCGTGCGTGCCCGAGGTATATGTCAGCAATGGTGTCAAAGTCGAGCACCAGCTCCAGCCCGCTCAACTCTCGCAGGTTGTAACCTGCGGGCCATGGTGTTTGGCATGAGTGTGACCGACAAGGGAGAATGAGTGTGGGCTTGATGGCTGGCTTGCCCCGGGTACCTGGCACGACGGCGTAAATGGTGGCCGGCAGAAGGGCCACGTCATCGATGGCCTCATACCACCGGGCCTCGAGCCCAGTACTCGTGGTGCCGAACTGTTCGCCGAACGCGATCAGCTGCTCTTTGGCCTGCAACGACGTCGAGCTAAAGTACTTGAATGTCGCCTGCGCCGTGGAGAAGGCCACCGTCCAGGCCGAGTAGAGCGGAAGGGGAGGACCCGTGCCGATGAGGTACGACGTGCTCGCCACCTTCTCGCCGTTGCACTCAAAGTCATTGAAGCGGTCGATGATGTACTTGCGCAGGCTCACATCTATCGGCACACCTCCGCTTGTGATCGCTAATGTGGATGCTCTGTAAAACAGGTGTGAGTGCGTGCGTGCGTGTGGCGTGTGGCGTGTGTCGTGGGTGGTGAGTGCGTACTCTTCGTTGGTAAGAGCCCACGCGATGAAACGAGTGAGCTCCTGGATGTTGGTGCAGTCCAGGGCTGTCACGCTCCGGTTGAAGGCCAAGAAGGTGTGGTACGAGAGCGGCCACGACTCATCACCGGGCGCATCTACGATGTCGATCGTGAGGTCGCCCGCGCTGAAGTTGCGAGCGAATTGGCTCATGGCCGCCTGCACCGTCGACACGCTGGGCTCCACCGTCTTGCCAGCCTTGTTGACCATGTTGGCCCACGACAGGCCGGCCGCGACGCTCATGGCCTGCCGCACAAACGTCATCCCGTACGTCGTGTTCTGACGCACTGTGTGAGCGACGACGCATCACACGCACCATCACACACAGCGGGAAGCTTCGAATACCTTCAGCCACGCCACGCGCTCTCTGCTTGTAGTACCGGCCTCGAAGGCGTGGCCGGCGAGGGCGGGCGGCATGCGGGCGAACGAATCGTTGGCCGCGGCGAGCGCAGTACGGAAGGTGTCGCTGAAGCTGGACATGGCCACTTTGAACACCTGGGCGAACGACACCTGGTTGCTGCTGGTGTAGCCGAGCGCGATGTTGGCCGCCGGCAGTATGGCCGCTACGGCGGGCGGATTGAGGTCCTTGATGCGCTGGTCGTCCCAGGTCGTGATCGCGCCTGCCCAAATCGCACCCAGCGTGCTTCTATCAAGCACCTGCGCACGATCGACGATGTCTCATAGGGTAAGCGTGTGCGGTGTGGTGTGATGGCGCCCAGGAAGGAACGTACCAGGAAGGTATCAGAGGCTGCAATCGGCAGGTTGTACGCCACCACCATGGCCTGGCCAAAGAGCGGGAATTGGAGCAGGTTGTCGAAGTCGCTAGAGACCGGGGACGTGATGCCGAGGTCCGTGCCCAAGAAGTCCTGGCCACGAGAAACAACAAAGTTGAGGAGGGAGAGACGCTGAATCAAAAATCTAAAATCAAAATCTACAATATGGCCCATCTTATTGTTTGCAGGCGGCCATGGCGTGTCAAGCCTCGCCCGCCCCTCGCGTGCACACCGGAAGCACAACATAGCGCCAGGCTTTGTCACTGGTCCAAGGCCGAATTGGAGCCACAAGATGCGGGGGGGGGGGCTTACCACAACACCTCGGGAGTAGTCCAACAAACCCCTGACCACAGTGGACCCATTGTAGGTGATGCTGCACATCACAATGGTAGGCCATGGATTTTGAATAGGTCACGCACAACACTGCCAGTGGCGGTGGCTCTACCTGACGTCATCTCGAACGTAGCGATAGCTGGCGGTCCAGGCATCGAACACTTCCTGGGGGTTGGGCGTACCCGCGCCGTGGAGCAGCACTGAGTCTGCTGCGGGAGGGAATAGATGTGAGCGCAAGCGTTTAGTGCTAGAAGAGGGCCTCAAGCCTGACGCTCATGTACCACAAGACTGAAGCAGCAAGAAGGAGATAAAGGCCCAGAACATGGTCGAGGTCGGGTGGTGGTGATGGCTGGGGTGGAAGGATGTGGCCTTGGCGACTCTGTGGTCTGTACTGGTGATAATGCTGTCTTGAGAGAGATGCGCTGAGGAACCTCTCTTGTGGTGGTGCTGGCCCTGTAAACCTGGAAGGGTCTCAGATCCAATCAGAACGGCAGCTTCACCGCAGGTCAAGTTTGTCAACTGGAAAGGCCTATCAAACAGTCTTGCCCCTCGCTCGCGAGCGACAGGTTAACAGCTCCGGTCACAGGTGATTGATTCGGGACAACACTTGCATGCACTTATAGCCTAACCAATAAGCTGGACATGTTGGCTCTGACGTTCCTGTGGTGGTGGTGGTTTTTGGCATGGCTTACCTTATTTAGACCTCTCTCAAAAAAGATATTACCGCACCCAACTGCGTGCCGGAAATAAAAATTGTAGCACCTCGAGAAGGAGATGGGAACTAGAGCGAGGGTGGCAGCTGTTGCACTGAGTCGCCGGACAGCTGGCTAGCGCCATCTGTGAGGGCCTCCTGCGCATCTGGCACCATGTCCAGCTGCATGAAGCTCGCCACGTCGTCGCCGCCGCCGCCACCCATCGCCGACGGAGAAGGCTGGTTGGCTGCGGTGGTCGTCTGCTGTTGCGGGGGCGACGGCTGACGCTGGCCGGCCACTGCGGCGGCGGGGCGGTGCTGGCCGTAGACCTGCTGTCGCTCCACCTCGAGCCGCTGCTGGGCGTCCTTGATGCGCTGCTGCCGCTCGCGGTCGAGCCGCTCGCGCTCCTCGGGCGTCGACCCCGACGGCGAGAAGGGCTGCGCGGCCGGCGACGAGACCGGCAGCGGGAAGCCGCCACTGCCCACCTGCGCGGGCGACGGCTGCGCCGCACCACCGGACGCAGCAATGCGCGCCGTCTTCAGCGCCGTGCGCTCGGCGAACAGTTTCTGTCGCTCCTGTTCGAGCTGGTGGCGGGAAACGAATATATAAGTTAACACAAACATATAAATAAACAGACATATTATTTCTCTTTAATACATCTATATGTATAAATTAAAGAGAAATATAAAGTGTTGGGTTGCGCCGTGGAAAGGGGAGAATGGGGGTGATGGGGTACCTGCAAGCGCTCCTTCTCGAGAACCTGCTCGAGCTGGTGGAAGTGCTCGAGCTTGGCGTCGAGCTTGCGCAGCTGTACCTCGACGACCATGGCCACCAGTCGCTGAATCTCGCGCTCCTCGGCATCGGCCAACACCTTGGCTCGCGCTGCGGCGGCGCCGATGGCGGCAGCGGCGGCGGCCTTGACCTCATCGGAGTCGATCTGGGTGCCCATGTCCATCTTGTTGGCCGCCGTCTCCTCCTGCTTCTCCTTCGCCTCGCCACTGCAATGCCACATAGATCACCAGTCTGAGCGCTCGAACCGGACGACACGACACGACACGACACGACACGACCAAGACACGATACACAGAACGGAGGGGTGGTACCTCGAGGTGGACGAGAGAGGAATCTCGCCCTTGCCCTCTTCCTCGACCGACCAGGAGCCGTCGTCTTCGACGGACTTGGCCACCGCCTCACCAGCGGCGCCGTCGCCGGCGGACTTGTTGTCGTGGTCCTCCTTCTCCTTGCCGTTCTCCTCCTTGGGCTTCTCCGCCTCGGCCTCCATGGCGTCCGCCTTGTCGCCGCCGCCGTTCTCCGCTGCAGACTTCTCGCCGCTCTTGACGGCCGACGCATCCACGTCCATCGCGGCACCGGCCTCCTTTTCACCACCTTCGCCCTGGTGGGCATCGTCGCTCGATGCCTTGGTCGTCTCCACCTTCTCTTTGCCCTTTTCCTTTTCCTTTTCTTTGCTCCTTCCCGAGATCACCGCCAGAGCGGCCTGTGCTGCCGCCGCCGCGACTGTGTGTGACGCAACGATTGTGCGTGAGAAAAACAAAGAGGAAAAGAAATAAGAGCGGGCGGGAGGCGAACCTCGAGGGTCGACGGAGGACGAGAGGAAGGCGATCATGGTCATGAGCGGATTGGCGGCGGCGGCGAACGGGTGGGGCTCCTCCACCACGGACTTGGGCCCGACGCCGACGAACCTCGCCAGCTGGTCCTCCAAATACGGATCCTGCACACCGCGACTATGTGAGACCAACACCACGCACACGCACACGCGTCGGAGAAGGAAGTGCGCACCTCGATGGGAAGGCGAAGGAAATGAAGGACGCACTGCTGGACGGTCTTGGAGCCGACGTGCTCGGCGATGTCGTTCCAGCTGTCGCCGAACATCTCGAGGCCCTCGAGCAGGAGCAGGGTCTCCTGGTCGGACCACTCGTCGCGCAGGTCCTCGAGCGTGCTGTCGATCTTGACAAAGTCGGCCGAGGTCATGTGCGCCGGGTACTTGCCCGCGGCGAAGCACGCCGTGCACACGTCCATGTCCTTGTACAGATGCCGGTGCCGCACCATCGAACAGACGCACCCGCACACCGAGCACAAATGCTGCAGCAAACCACGTTTTTCCCGTCAGAAACCCGGTTTTTTTCCCATCAAGTCAACGTTCAGACAATCTGCCGATTGGCGGACAAAGACTGGGTAGAGCGTGGGAGTACCTTGGGGAGGGTGGCCTGGGCGGGCTCGGGGGGCCTGATGTTGGGGATGATGGTCGGGTGCAGCGCGAGATTGGCGCCGGCGCTGGTCGCCGGCTGCGGCGCCAGCGCGGCGATGCCCGGCGCCCCCGACTTGGCGCTGGGCGAGGACGGGGCTGCAGCTGGCGAGCCCGCGGGCACGACCATCGCGGCGCCCGAGGGTCCCGTCGACGGGACGAGCGCGGGCGCGGCGGTCGAAGTGGTGGAGGTCGACGACGACGATGGCGACGTGGCCCCAGGGGCGGCGGCGGCCGTGGGCGGCTGCAGGGCGCCGTACTTGGTGAGGTTGACGTTGGACGGCACCAGGTAGTTCACCAGGCCCCAGTGCTCGAGGAAGGCGTGCACCCTGCAATGGAGTGTGACGATGAGTTGAGCGGGAAAAAAAGAATCAAAAGGGCCTGTTGAGGGGGGGAGCGAGCGAACCGCAAGATGGCGCCGACATCGCCGGCGAGGTTGCGGCGGCAGGCGGTGACGGTGAGGTAGTGCTGCGGGTTCTGCTTGTAGGCCGCCAGCATGAAGTCGCGATACTCCTTGTAACTGTGTTGTGTGTGGTGTGTGTGTGTGTGTGTGGTCAATAAATGAGAGTCAACAACATCACTATCACCGCCATGTGGAAGAGCGGCGCCCAGGGGAGAGGGAGAGAGCGCGTAATCCAATACGTACATCTCGGGGGTCTTCGACTTGGACCGGCCGTTGAAGAACTCTGGCAGAGCCCGCTTCTCAATGTCGTGGATCTCGTCGGCCTTGAACCACTGCGCCGCGGCCGGGTTGATGATAGGCGCCTAATCACACACGTGACTGTCAGTATCGACGCACACTCTGCCTGTGGCGCCGGCGAGGGCGAGGGGAAATGGTACGTCGGCGGGGAGAGGGGGCAGCGGCGGTAGCTTGAGGTTGAGATTGCCCAGCTGGGAGATGTTGGCGAGGGTGGTGATGAGCTGCCGCGGGTCGGGTCCGCCGGGCCTTCGGCCGGCCGAGCTGGGCTGGCGCGTCAGCGAGGGCGCGGGGCCGGGGGTGCCCGGCGGCCGCTTGTAGACCACCGGCTGCACCGGCGCCTGGCCGGGCGCGCCGCCGCCTGGGCGCTGACCGGGCGCGTAGGACAGCCCGCCCCCGATCGGATAGGACCCACCGCCGCCGCCACTGACGCCCATCAGCGGCTGGGGCGTGCGCCCGGGCATATGCGAACCCATCGGGCCTGCGTTATATCATCACGCACAGTGTGGGGCGGAGCGAGGGTTAGACAACACGACACACACACGGCACACACGACACACACTGGGGGAGTACCAGGAGTGTAGGAGGTGGCGAGGCCCGAGCGGGGCGGTTGACCCGCCTGATAGCTGTACGGAGACATGCCGGCGCTGGCGGGATACGGACTCCCTGGGAAGAAGCGAAGAGAATCGATCGGTTAGAGGGGGGGGGAAGAGAGAGAGAGCTTTGTCGCAAAGGTGGTGGCGAGGGTTGGGGGGAAGGCCACCTTGCACGGGGACGGATCGGGGCTGGCCGCCACCGGGCAGCGGGGAGCCGGCATAGGAGAGCCCGGGGCTCGAAACGGCGTAGGGCGAGGCCGCACCCGGCGCCATCTGCCGCGCCGGCGCACCGCCAGCCGAGCTGCAGTTCGGACACACCGCGTCGTGGTGCGTCAGACCACCACCACGAGCGAGAAGTAGGGCGTGTGGGGGGGGGGAGTGTACCCATAGGACGACGGCCCGGCCGAGTAGGCGTAGGGGTTGGTGTTCTGAGGGCCGCCGGTGGTGGGGTAGCCGCCAGACGGGCCGGCGTAGCCGTACGAGGGCGGCGCACCGGCAGCGGCGTAAGGCGCAGACGACGAAGACAGCGACGATGGGTGGGGTGCGGCGGGGGAAGTCGGGGGCAGGGGCGTGGACGGCGCCGACGAGGTGGGCGGCGCCAGGGACGACGGAGCGGCGGCAACGGCGGATGTCGATGGCGCGGCGGCGGCCGATTTGCTGCTGCCGTTCTCGTCGACCTTGCCGGCGGCGGCGGCTGCGGCGGCGCCTTCGCCCTCTTCGGTGGCGCCCACCTTCTTCTTGCCCTTGTCGCTCGTTCGCCGCTTCTTGCGCGACGGCGACTTGCCGTTGTCTTCTTCCATCTCCTCCCCCTCCCCCTCCTCATCTTCCTGCTCCTCGCCCTCGCCCTTCTTGCTCTGTTTGTTCTTTGTGTCCTTCTTGCCGTCGTCATCGTCATCGTCGCCGTCGTCGATGTCCATGTCCTTCCGCTTCTTGGCGACCGTGCGCGCGACCGAAGCCGGCAACGCCTTGCGCGCCCGCGCCCTGGAAGCCCCGCGGGCACGGCCTCCCCTGGTCTTGGCCGGCGACCCATCAGCCATTTCCGGCGGCTTGTCTGCATAAATTATGTAAAATAAAGAGGGGAGACCGGCGTCAGCTGGTGGCCAGCCGCGTGTGGGAGGCCACCAAGTGGCGTACCATCCGATTCGTAGTCGACCTCGTTCATCCACTCGTTGAAGCGGTCCAGGTCCGTGAGCCATCGCTCTTGCTGCTCAGAGGACCGCACGAACGCGTTGTGTGTTTGTGTGTGTGTGTGTGTGTGGTGTCACATGAGTTTGCTTTACTCGCGTGTGGAGCTGGAGCTTGGAGGTGGTAGGGCAGCCGTGGACACGCACCACCACCCAGGGGCCGTCGTGGTCTTCCTCCTGCGGCGACGCCTCGCCCTCGACTTCGGCCGCCGGCAGCCACGCGTCGTAGGAGTCGGGGTAGTACCACCAGTGGACGAGGGCCTGCTTGCCCTTGACCTCGATCGTGCGCAGGTAGTCGAGGGCCGGGTCCTCGGCCGGGTCGCGGGGCGCGTCCTTGACCACCACGTGCGTGGCCTCGTGTGGGGACGCGACCAGCACGCCCCGGTGGGCCTTGACGATGGCCTTCAGCTTGGCCGCGTGCTTGGCCGGCACCGTTGACGACAGCATGACCCGGGGGTAGCTCAGCTGGCCCGCCTTCTGCTCGTGCGCGAACGAGATTAGCTCGAGCTGGTGGAAGAAGAAGAAGACGACGAAGAAGAAGGGATCATCTAAGACGTTACCACAAGGGTCTCCTCGATGAGACCGATGAGTTGCAGGTTGCGCTCCTTCTTCTGCGGGTTCTGAAACTCGAATCGCCGCAGGTGCTGCGCCTCCTTGAAGGTGAAGCAGGCGGAGAGGATGGTGCGGAGCGAGCCCTCGGGCGAGTAGTCGTGGAACAGCTTGAGCGGGAGCTTGGTGAGGTCGCGGCAGTCGCCCTGCCGTAAGCGAGAACGGATGAGGGGCCTCATCGCGACTGAGAGAGAAGGTGGCGCGATGGGCCGGGTAGTGGCGGTGCAAAGGGTGCGTACATCGCGGCCGAGGGCGGACTCCTGGAAGGTGAGCAGCTCGGCGGTGAGCTGTGCCAGGCTCTTGGCGGTCACGTCGGGCACGGTGTCCGCCAACGCACGCCGAATGGGCTCGAAGTGTTTGATGAAATCGGACGTCTCGTAGTGCTTGACGTTAGCTCCCGACTTGGAGCGCGTAAGCGACGACATCTTCAAGGAGATCTGGCAGCCAGCAGAACAGAGATTGTGATCATAAAATCAAAAAAATGAAATAAAATAAGGGCATGGAGCGGTTGCGATTCGTGATCATTTGCGGCCTTTGACGGCCACGACTTTGATTCTTGTCCGTGTTGTTGTTTTGCGCTCCCAAAAATTTTTCTCTTCGCTTTCCTCTTCGCCCCCAAAAACGAAAAAACATGCACCGAGCTGCTCCATCTGCCGCCACGCCCCCTAAGAATCGAAGTGAATTACCTGAACTTTGATTTAGAAGGCGTTTGCGGCGAGTCTCCTTTTGCGTGGTGCCTTCTCGCTGATGCGCAATCGTCTCGAATGGCCGAAGATACAACAGTGGCGCTCAGCCCAACGGTCTCTGTCAGCGCCGGGCAAAACCTAAATAGCAGTCTTCCCTGCCAAACCCAGAATTGCTCCCCAACTCCGGGCGCGAAAGCCCACAAACGCGAGAGCGTAGCAAGACGAAGCGGAACGTGAAGCAAGAGTACAGCAAAGTGGTCGTGTGCGGGGTGCTGCGGCTGCTCGTAGATATGTACAGAAAGGAGAACAAACTCCAAGTTTATTCTTTTTAGAAAGAGTATAATGATCTAGTAGGTGTCCTCCTCGAGGCCGATCTCGCCACCGTCGACAGAAGACTCGCCGAGGTCGGTACCGCTGCCCTCCTCGTAGGCCTCGTCCTCGTCGACGCCGGCCTCCTGGTACTGCTGATACTCCGAGACGAGATCGTTCATGTTGCTCTCGGCCTCAGAGAACTCCATCTCGTCCATGCCCTCGCCGGTGTACCAGTGGAGGAAAGCCTTCCTCTTGAACATGGCCTGGAACTGGTCGGAGACGCGCTTGAAGAGCGACTGGATGGCGGTCGAGTTGGCGAGGAAGGTGGCAGTGATCTTCTGGCCCGCGGGAGCGATATCGCACACCGAGGACTTGATGTTGTTGGGGATCCACTCGACGAAGTAGTTCGAGTTCTTGCTCTGGACGTTGAGCATCTGCTGATCGACTTCCTTGGTGGAGACCTTACCGCGGAAGACGGCCGAGGCGGTGAGGTAGCGTCCGTGACGAGGGTCGCAGGCGGCCATGATGTTCTTGGCATCGAAGATTTGCTGGGTAATCTCGGCCACGTTGAAGTTGCGGTAGGCCGTGGAGTTGGGGGCAGTGAGGGGAGCGTAGCCGACCATGAAGAAGTGGAGGCGAGGGAAGGGGATGAGATTGACGGCGAGCTTGCGCAGATCCGAGTTGAGCTGGCCGGGGAAGCGGAGCGAAGCGGTGACACCGCTCATCACCTGCGAGACCAGGTGGTTGAGGTCGCTGTAGTTGGGGTTGGACAGCTTGAGGGTGCGGAAGCAGATGTCGTAGAGGGCCTCGTTATCGATGCACATCACCTGATCGGCGTTCTCCACGAGCTGGTGGACCGAAAGGGTAGCGTTGTAGGGCTCGACGACAGTGTCGGAGACCTTGGGCGACGGCATCACGGAGAAGGTGCACATCATGCGATCGGGGAACTCCTCGCGGATCTTCGAGATGAGAAGGGTACCCATGCCCGAGCCGGTACCGCCTCCGAGCGAGTGGCAGACCTGGAAGCCCTGGAGCAGATCGGAATTCTCGGCCTCCTTCCTCACGACATCGAGCACCGAATCGACGAGCTCAGCACCCTCAGTGTAGTGACCCTTAGCCCAGTTGTTGCCGGCGCCGCTCTGGCCGAAGACGAAGTTATCGGGACGGAAGAGCTTGCCGTGCACACCCGAGCGGATGGCATCCATGGTGCCGGGCTCGAGATCGACAAGCACGGCGCGGGGCACGTAGTTGCCTGATAGGAGTGAGGCGACCGCGTTAGCCATTCGCAATTTCCTGTGCCGAGTGCGGCATGCGAAATTAAAGGACTCTTGGAGGAGTGGCGCAGACATACCACCGCTGGCCTCCGTGAAGTAGACGTTGATTCTGTCGAGCTGGAGGGGGTCATCTCCAATGTACTTGCCAGTACCGTCGATTCCATGCTCATCGGCAATGACCTCCCAGAACTTCTTACCGATCTGGTTACCGCACTGACCTGCCTGGATGTGAATGATCTCCCTCATGATGTAGGCTTGGAATGCGTCGAAGGAGTCGGCTTGGTGAAGAGCAGGCGTCTGAAAAAATGACGAAGACTCGCCCTGCGGATTTTATACTCCGAGCGTTTTCCCGCGCTTTGGGCGGTGGTTTCGCGCCAAAAGTTCTAATGATTGCTATTGGCGCCTTGGTTGGCCTTTGATTTTGGCAGGCAGTTTGAAAAGCCACAGTTTTCGTGTGTTCTCTTTTCAGAAGGTATTTTTAGATTGGCTGTTTGATTTAACGCAACGGCGATGTCGGCATAATCATATCCTCGTTGTCCCGCCACCTTAGGCGGCCGTTGCCTCACTCCTCAGATGGTTCCGGATCGCCGGTTGTTGGCGGTTGTGGAATGTGTGATGATCGGCCCACCTCTCGTTTTTCATACAGCCGCAGTCGCTTCTCTTTGGCGGGGTCGAATTTCTGGGTTTCTCTTCTTTGTTGTCGCCGCCTTGCTTTGATCGTTACCGCCAACAACACAACACAACATGAGGAGAGCTACCGCCGCCCTTCCCTACGCCAGGGTACGTTGCAGTAGCCACCAATTCGCACAAATCTGTTAGCCATTTATGAAGCTGCATTGCCTCATGGGTGTCTTTCCTTTCTATCCTTTCATCAGTCCGCTGCGCCCATGAGGTCTAGTGCGCTCCTCGCCTGCAGGCCCTACAGCACCACCCCGGCGACCGCTGCCAGGGGTAGGCAACCGAAATCCCTGCCCGCATTAAATGAAATGAAATTAATTGACCTTCCGTGTTAACAGAGATGTCTTTCCTCGAGAGCGTGCTGCACAACTTCAACAAGGCTGCTGCTCTTACCGGCCTGAGCGAGCCCCAGATTGGTACGACTTTAAGACACTTTTTAAGAAATGAGAAATGCTCCTATTCGGATATTTTTTTTTAATCTTTTTGCAACCTTCCACTTGTTGTAGCCAACATCAGGAAGTGCGCTGCCGTCTTCCGCGTCAAGTTCCCCGTTCGCGTCAACCTCAATGAGAAGACCGGCGAGTACGACACCATGATCGTTGAGGGCTTCCGCGTTCAGCACAGCCACCACCGTCTGCCCTGCAAGGGTGGTATCCGTTACAGCGAGCACGTCGACCAGGAGGAAGTTATGGCCCTGGCCTCGCTCATGACCTACAAGTGCGCGATCGTTGACGTTCCCTTCGGCGGCGCCAAGGGCGGTATCAAGATCAACCCCCGCGAACTCGGTGTTTCGCAGATTGAGGCCATTACCCGTCGTTATGCCTCCGAGCTGATCAAGCGCAACATGCTTGGCCCCGGCATGGATGTGGTACGTCACAATTCAGCCTCCTCGTCTACCCTTTTAATCAGCTCGGATGTACATTTCTAATTGCAGCCTTTTTTTCGCGCCATTAATTTATTAGCCCGCCCCCGACATGGGCACTGGTCCCCGCGAGATGGCCTGGATCAAGGATACCTATGAGGCCTTCCATCCCCAGGATGTCAACTCCCTTGCCTGCGTCACCGGCAAGCCCATCTCCCAGGTGAGCTTTGCCTCTTCTTTTCCCTGCACGGCGGGACGGGCTTTTCTCTGACCAAGTGCGGGCGCGTGTAGGGTGGTATCCGTGGCAGAACCGAGGCCACCGGTCTTGGTGTGTTCTTCACCGTCAGGGAGGCCGTCAACTACGAGGAGGACATGAAGGCCCTCGGCCTCACCACCGGCCTCAAGGGCAAGCGCGTCGTCATCCAGGGCTTCGGTAACGTCGGTTCGTACTCTGCCAAGTTCATGCACGAGGCCGGCGCCAAGATCATCGCCATCGGCGAGAGGGACGGTGGTCTCTACAACAAGGACGGTATCGACATCACCGCCCTCTGGAACCACATCGGCGAGAAGAAGCCCTTCCTCTCGTTCCCCGGCGCCGCGGTCGTCAAGAACCCCGAGTCCCTGCTCGAGGAGGAGTGCGACATCCTCGTGCCCGCCGCCCTCGAGAACCAGATCAACGCCACCAACGCCCTCCGCATCAAGGCCAAGATCATCGCCGAGGCTGCCAACGGCCCCGTCACCGCCACCGCCGACGAGATGCTCGAGAAGAGGGGCATCATCGTCATCCCCGACATTCTCTGCAATGCTGGTGGTGTGACCGTCTCCTACTTCGAGTGGGTCAAGAACCTGTCGCACGTGCGCATGGGTCGTCTTGAGAGGCGTTACGACCAGAGGTCCAAGGAGAGGCTCCTCGAGCACTTCTCCAACATCACCGGCAGGAAGGAGGACGTCCCCGCCGGCGTCGTCTCCGGTGCCAACGAGGCCGACCTCGTCCACTCCGGTCTGGAGGACACCATGATCGAGGGCTACGCCAACGTGCGCTCCGTCTCCAAGCTGAAGGTTCACTTCCACCCAACACCTCTTTTCCTGTCTTGATAAGCTTGTAGTTGAGTTGTCACCTTCCATCATCATCATCTCACCCACCTTATTTGTTTCTTCTTCCAGAACTGCTCCATGAGGACTGCTGCCTTCGTTGATGCCATCCGCAAGGTCGCCCGCTCGTACGCCGAGCTCGGTGTCTTCCCCTAAAGTGTTGGACATCATCACCATCATCGTCATCTTCAACAACCCATTGCAAATAGGACTTACATTTTCCAACCCCTTCATTGTGTCGTTGCCACTTCAACCCTCTTCTTCAACTCTTTCCTTGGTCTTCTTCTTGAGGCGTGGCTGGGCGACGGTCGGAGGATTTTTCCCGGATCTTGGGAGGACCGCAATTTGCAGCGGCCGACTGTTGGTCGCCTCACATTTCCCCAGCGAGCCCCCACCCACGAGCCCATCACTCCATCCAAAGAAAGGCTTTCCTTTCACCGCCACACTAGATCGACCACTCCACACACCCCCAGCCAACACAAGATGTCCAAGTGCCCCACGTACGATTTTTCAATTTATTTTTGGCCGTTTTTTAATCTTGCTAGGCCGCGGCGGCGCATCTCCTAGTACTACTCGCAACATTACTGATCAGCGCTCATCTTTCGCAATTTACAGCTGTAGCAAGACCGTGTACTTTGCCGAGCGCGTCAGTGCCCTTGGCCGCGATTACCATCGCCTCTGGTACCCCCCCCCGCTCATGCTACAATTTATTCGATTGCCGCACGCAGATGAATTAATCGACTTTTTGTAAAACATTGCCGCGGCTTTCAGCCTCAAGTGCAAGCAGTGCACCAAGGCGCTCCAGCCCGGCCAGTTCGCCGAGAACAACGGCTCGCTCTACTGCAAGCCCTGCTACTCGTCCGTCATCGGCCTGAAGGGGTACGCTGCCGCCGCATCCCACCAAAACTGTCCACCACCATCGCACTACACGCGCACCGACGCCTGACATCTTTCTCGCCTGGGCGCAGCTACGGCTTTGGCAACTCCATCGACTCGCATGTGTCGGGCGGTGCCGCCGGCAAGGTGCAGCACTCTGCGCGTACGTCTCTCGCCCCGGCCCTTCTCCTTCCCTCTACGCAACCCGCCGGCGGCACGTTGACGTGTCGAAGCTCACTCCTCACGCCCATCTCTCTTCACCGCACACATACACACACACAACAGCCGTGAGCTCTGGAGGCAGTGGAGGCTACGCTACTCGTGCCGGTACGTCTGCGATCCGCTTTAGCCCCGGCGCGTTGTGGCACGCGTTGTGTGGCATGTGACCAGCGCGCATGGGCTGTTGTCTGATTTCTATCAACGTGGCTCGTCCTCTTTTGTGTCTGCAGCCGATCCCGCTCCCGCCCCTTCGGGCGGCGGCGGCAAGTTCTGCAGCCAGTGCGGCTCGCGCGCTGCCGGCGGCAAGTTCTGCTCCGAGTGCGGCTCCGCCCTGTAAAACACAATCAGCGGTAAGACGACACCTCTTCTCTTGGCCGGCGCCAAGCCTGAAGCTGACGCCACTCGTTCTCTCCTTCTCTTTCTTTCTTTGGGCTCCAGGCCACCGGCGTGTCACCTGTATAGGTAGAGAGCGAGGAGCGTGGGAGAGGCGGACCACACACAGAACATTGTTACCCCGACCCCCCCCCCGAAGGTCTCCAGTTGTGTGCACTAAAACAATCGCATTTGGACCCACGCGCAAGAGAACACACACACGACACACAAAACTGAAGGGTTTCATTCGCCTGTGATGCCCTGAAAGACAAGGGGCGTGGTGTCCACTTCGTCCATCATTGATGCCACCGGGACGACGTTGCCCTGCAGTAGGACGTGCGTTTGTTCCGACTCACCCGGGCCGCTCGCCGGTCCACCGTGGCCCACCATCGCTTCATCCTCGTTTCGTTGTCGTTGTCGTCATCTTCTTCTTCCGCTGAGCGCCGCGTCGTCACCGAGACAGAGATGTGGCCGTTCTCCTCTACTGTGAACGACGGCGGCAGGCTGTGGCCGAGGTCCATCTCGAGATGCTCGGACTGGCCGGACGGCTGCTGACGCGGCACACCATCAGCAGGTACGTGGGCTAAGAAGGGGCGGGGGGCAAGGAGTACCGGAGGCGGGTAGAGGCCGGCCTGCTGGAGCTGGACCTGCAGGGGCGCGTCGAGTGTCGGGACATCGGCCGACGACTTGGCCTTCATCCCGCGCGGCCGCGACACCAGCGAGAACAGCAGGTTCTCCTCCGACGGCAGCGCAAAGCTCCGCTCCACCGTCTTCCGCGACACGTGGAACGTGTCCGCGATCTCGCTCTGCGACAGACCCTGCACGTTTGCCACGTCAGCGGCCCGTCAACACGACACAAGCGGTGATGGTTGGGGGGGGGGTGCGGACCAGGCCGAGGGCTTTGATGAGGGGCTTGCGGAGGGGCGAGGTGGGCGGGAGCTGGTTGATGAGCTGGATGGCGTTCTGGCCGATGTGCTGGGCCATCTTGTCGCCCTTGGTCGACGGCAGCCGCTTCTGGCCGTAGGACGAGTTGAGGTACTTCTCGAGCATGGCCGTGCCCTCCTGCTCCCCGCCGGCAAACTCGTTGATCTTCTCGTCGAACCGCTTCAGCTTCTGCCGCTGGTTGCGCGTCTGCGAGAAGATCTTCGACGGCCGCCCGATCAGCACGCTCTTGCGCCGCGGCGAGCTCGACGTGGAGAAGAGCGTGCCGCGCTTGCTGCACCGCTCCTTCTGCTTCTGGTGCCGCGGGCAGTACGACCGGCACGTGATCTTCTTGTCGCACCCGGGGAACCGACACAGCCGCTCGCCGCGCTGGTGCATCTGCGTCTTGCGCCGCTTCTTGGTCGGCTCGCCGCCGTCGCCTCCATCGATCCCGCCGATGCTGCCGGCCATTCCCTCGTCGCGTATCACCATCACCTCTCCGCTTCCGAGGCCGGCCTCTTCGTCGCCGCCGTCGTCGCCACCGCCGCCGTGCTCTCGCGCTCGCTTCTCGCCTGTGCTGCTGGTGGTGCTGCTGCTGCCCGTAGTGGTGGTGCTGGTGGTGGTTGTGGTCGAGTCCGTGGTGCTCGTGGCCGGCGGCGCCCCGCTTTCGCCCACGTGGCCCTCTGCGATGTCCATTTCGCCGCCGCCGCCGCCGCCGTGGTCGTGGCTGCCGACGCCTCCGGACCTGACGCACGACGGGCAGACGTAGGTGCTGTGCTCGCCCCGCCTGGCGCTCTCCTCGGTGATGCCCACGCACTTGCCGTGGAACCACTTGTTGCAGTGGTCGCACGCCAGCATGAAGCAGCTCCCGTCGTAGGGCTGCTGGCACAGGCAGTACAGCGGGGCCGCGGGCGGCAGTTGGACCTGCGTGTGCTGCTGCTGCTGCCGCTGCTGCGGCTGGAGGTGCGCGTACGCCCCGGAACCCGAGTTGTCGCCGCCGCCGCTGTGGCTGCTGGCCATCGAATTGCTGTCGACTATGACGGCGGGCAGGCTGCCGTCGTGGTGGTGGTGGGGCATCGGCGCGAAGGTGGGGAGCGGCGGCGGGAGCGACGGGAGCGCGTGCTGGTGGCTCCCGGCTTGGAAGTGCGCGGCGAGGCCGGCAAGGCTATCGCCGGTCAGGGAGCCCGATGTGGCGGCGGCGATGGCCGACGCCAGAGCCGCGTGGTGGTGGCCCGAAGAGTCGAGCTGATGCTGCTGATGAAGGTGGTGATGATGCTGCTGGTGCTGTTGATGCTGATGCTGTTGGTGTTGGTGTTGCTGATGGTGGTGGTGATGTTGGTGCTGATGCTGGTGATGGTGGAGCTGGTGGTCGAGCGACAGCACGTCGGCCGACGTTGACTGGGCGTGTGGATGGGAGTGGAACGTGTGATGTGAGTTGAAGTCCAGAAGATGGGGGTCGTAGGCCAGGTCCTGCAAGTTGTGGAGCTGCTGATCTTGCAGCTGTTGATCTTGCAGCTGTTGCTGGTGCTGATGATGCGGACTCAGCGATTGCTGCCCCTCGCCATCCGTGTAGCCGCCGGTGGTTGGCGGTGTTGTGGATGTGACCGAGGTCGATGCCGCAGGGGCTGGGTAATTCAAGTGAAGGACGGAGGCGGTGTTGCTGTCCACGACGCTTGGCGGCTGATGGGAACTCGAATGGGTGCTGAGATGCAGAAGGGATGCATCGTGAGGCGCCTCGTGCAACGTGGAAGATTCGAGCGAGGCCAAAGATGGAGCGCCGATTTGCGATGAGGGGGTAGCATGGGTAGGAGACTCGATCGAAGGGGTAGTAGCTGAAGATGAAAAGGAATGGCCTGATGTCACAGCAGCCGGGAAGGATGGAGACGTAGAGGAAGAAGTCTCAGCAGATGTCGTTGATTCCGAGAGAGATGAGGACGATGTGGCCGTCCCTTCGGGTTGGGCTGCTTCCTCCGGCGAGTATGAGACTGCCTGCTCAGACATGTCGAACGAGCGTACCAGTCGATCAGTCGGCAGGTCCAGCACCTGAGAGTTTCGCTCCATCCACGGACAGGTCGCCTTATCGTCCCAAACCGCTCCGCCAAACGAAATTCTTCGTTGCAGTTCTAAACAATTCCAAATTTTCGGAAAACACAACGGTTCGTTAAACCACCAATGGCGTCACGTTTCTATCTGCCAACGAAAATGCAGGACTCAGCGACAAAAAGGCGGGCGAGCCGTTAGAAAAAAGTAGCAACAACTCGCCAAGAGCAACAACAAGCCAGCAGCGCTCCACTCCTCTCGAATCAATCAACAACAAGATGTCGCACGTCGGACGCGGAAAGGGCGGTAAGGGCCTCGGCAAGGGTGGCAAGGGCCTCGGCGGCGCCAAGCGTCACAGGAAGGTGCTCCGCGACAACATCCAGGGCATCACCAAGCCCGCCATCCGTAGGCTCGCTCGCCGCGGTGGTGTCAAGCGTATCTCGGGCATGATCTACGAAGAGACCCGCGGCGTGCTCAAGGTCTTCCTCGAGAACGTCATCCGCGACGCCGTGACCTACACCGAGCACGCCCGCAGGAAGACCGTCACTGCCATGGACGTCGTCTACGCGCTCAAGAGGCAGGGCCGCACCCTCTACGGTTTCGGCGGCTAAGCGAATCGAAACCGCGACAGCCTCCCCTTGTACACATCCGTTCGGGAGAGAAGAGTTCTCCCCTAAGTTATACCCTCGTACAGTAAAAACAATAAAAAACAACTACAACATACTATCCAATTCAATCTCGTCCCCTTCGCCACTTGCAACGTTGGCAGTCTAAACATCATAAAAGTGGCGTTGTAAAAAGAAAACACTTATTGCGCCATTTCTTTGGCCAGTTGCACTCTCTGGAGTGCAACCAGCATTTCGATCATGACCGTAGCCCGGACGTCCACCGTTAGCATCTCACCAGCCAACACCATTCATGGCATCCAAAGAGCGATCCTTCATCTTGTGGCCATAAAATAATAAAAATATATTATTACGGAGTTTTGTGCCAGGTTTTTTCATGGATAAAATTACATGTCTGGGGATATTGCCGGCAAGCAAACCTTTGCTCTCTCTTTTCTTCTTCTCTCTCCCCTTTATCGTCGTTGTATCCACAATGGTATGCCCCTTCTTCCTGCTTCGTTGGGGGCGTGGTGAAGATCTGTGGGCAGAATCTGTTCTTCGTGCTGCCGTCACTTTCTAGATCGACAAATGTGACGCCCATTTACGATCAAATTCGCTCATCCCATCTTCTTCGCCCCACCACCACAGCCCTCCAGCCTGAGCAAGAACAGAAAGAAGAGGGGACACGTCTCCGCCGGTCACGGTCGTGTTGGCAAGCACAGGAAGCATCCTGGTGGTCGTGGTAACGCTGGTGGTCAGCACCACCACAGGATCAACTTCGACAAATAGTACGATCATCCCCGTTGCTCATTCTCCACCCGACTTCTGATGCATTTGCAACCATTATTAGAAACTAACCGCTGTTCCTTCCTCAATTCAGCCACCCTGGCTACTTCGGTAAGGTCGGTATGAGGCACTTCCACTACAAGAGGAACCCCGACTTCTGCCCCGCCATCAACCTCGACCGCCTGTGGACCCTCGTGACCGAGCAGCACAGGAAGGCTTACGAGAACAGGACCGACGGTAAGGCCGTGGTCATCGACGTCGTCAAGGCTGGTTTCTTCAAGGTGCTCGGCTCCGGCCGTCTCCAGTCCAAGCAGCCCCTCATTGTCAAGACCAAGTTCATCAGCAGGAGGGCCGAGGAGAAGATCAAGGCTGTCGGCGGTCAGGTCATCCTCACTGCTTAAACTTGCCCCTACAATACAGTCCCACTCTTCTTCTGACTCAGGAATTCAGCTCTTGCCCCCCCCCCTTCATCTTGCACGGCTTGAGTTGTGAACAGTTTATGTTGCTTGACGCGATAGTGCGGAGGCAAGGGCTCACACGCCCGAGCAAAGAGAAATGAAGTAGATGAAGAGGAGAAGGATGGGGTAGGAGAGCATGATCTGCTTGTCGCGCATCTTCTCCTGGGGGAACTGGGCCAGCAGCGTTCCTGCGCTGAACGCCGCCCAGAACGTGCACAACACCTGTGTGGGTGCATAATAGGTGGTTGGTGATGGTTGATGGTAGTTGAGTCACTACAGCGAGGCGGAGGGCTCTTGGCGAGTGCAGCTGGCGTACCCTGACGATGATGGAGAAGGCGATCTCGGGAATGATCGAGATGATGAGTACGGCCAAGTTGAGGGGCAGCACCGAGTAGCCGATGACGCCCAGGACTGGAAGAGAGCGAGAGTTGGTCGGATGCCCAACCCACGAACACTCCCAACACGCCAGCGTAGTGCAAAGAGAGAGAGAGAGAGAGAGGGACAAACCTTGAGAGAATGTGATCTCGGCTCCGAGCACGCGGCCGAGAGCGAAGATGAGGAATGAGCCCAGCATCCACATCGTGAGAATCCACGACACGACTGGTCGTGGATCAAAGAAAAGTGTGAGAGAAGAGATGAAGATCAGCCGCGACTCAATGCACTACACGCACGCTCGCTCTCGCTTATCAGGCAGATGCTTGGTACCTCTGAGCTGCCCCCAGATGATGAGCAGCGAGTATGTGAGGACGACGGCCATCGGACCCCAGAAGTCGGGGTTGGACAGGAGGACCTGATTGAAGGGGAAACGCGAACATCCAAGGATTAAGGCAAACCCAGGAGCGAGGGACGGCACCGACGCGACGTGACGGTGTGTGTGTGGTGTGTGTGTGTGTGTGTGCGGCGGAAGGGCGAGGCGTACGGAGCGGTCGAACTTGAAGGGCAGAAGCACGCATCTGACCTTGTACAGAATCTCGGCCGGGTTGATGTCCAGCTCCTCCCTGATGACAGTGCGTGTGCGGTCGTGCGTGTGCGTGTGCGGTGCGCGAGCGCGAGTGAGAGGAACGAAGGAAACCGAGTGTGTGGGCGGTCACCACGCGACGCAGTGCGTGCCATGAAAGAGAGGAAGGAGTACAGGAGGGGAGTTGGGAGTCGGGGTCCTCATCTGTTTCCTCGTGCTCGAGCAACCAGCCCAGGCCCTTTGAGTTCAGGAACTGCTTCGCGCCGAATGCAGACGAACCTGCAAAGAGATTGAGCAGCCCACACACACAAGGTTGGCGAATTGACAACATGTTGATTGGGATGAAAGAAAAATTGATAGATTGGGGAGAAGGATTTGTGTTGAAGAAGGAGAAGGAACCATCATTGGATTGGAAGGGGTCAGCGGAGGCAATCTGTCCCGAGTTGACCTCCGTATTCTGTTCATAGTTGGTGGGGAGGGCGATGAACGCCAAATGTTCCTTTCCTCCTTCCTGGGCCGTGTCCTGTACTCCACTCATCATCCCTTGCTCGCGTGCTTCTTGTCCAATCTCGTTGTAGTTCCTTTCTATTTTCTATTTTCTCTTTGTTTTTTGTGTTGTTTTTTTAATGCATTTGTAAATTAAATCAAGATCGATGGAGGACGGCTTGCACGAGGGGGCGAGCCTGCGCGTGGTGGTGCAGCGGATTCGGCGAGCCAGGCTCATGCTCTCCGTACCCCTCAACATAGATGTGCTATTTATTTATATTGATATTTATATTTATATACATATAATTTATTTATTTATAAGAAATGTACACCCAGGAAGAGAAGGACGGGTGGGCTGAAGTGGATCGTGGGCTCGTCTACCTGGTGTGCTTCGTGCGCACCACAGCCGGAACGCCGCCGCTCGACCTCCGACGCGCGGGTACGGACAGCGTAGCGGCCTCTTTTGTGGTGAGAAGAGTGAGTGAGTGGATTGGCTGATCGGCCACACTACCCACACAGCTAAGTCGCTGCTGATGGCCAAGATAGACACCAACGCCGAGGGGCGCCCAGCGTCTGTGCTCGACATGGGCGGCGACGTGTTGGTGGTGCCGCAGGCATCCCTCTCGGGCAAGCTCAAGGGCAACACGCCCCAGTACCGTTGACCCTAGCCTACGCCCACGCAGATGATGGCTTGCTCAAGGCTCTCTTGGCCATCGCTCCAGGTATCATGCCCAGGTTGCGAAGGAGAAGGGCCTTGACCTCTACACGGCATTCATCACCATCTTGAACGAGGAAGCCGTGGCTGCTGGTAAGGTCATCACCATCAAGGCTGGAGTGTATGGTCCGTGCCCCACAACCCCCAAACAATCGTACACGAATAGCGACATGTACCGGTACCAACACACTATTTGGCCTTTCTCGTGGCCAACGCAGGGAACCGCCAGGCCCTGAGCACTGAGAGCGACGGACCCTACACCCACATGTTCGAGTTCTAGTGGCTGGCCGACAAAGAGCTTGAGCCAGCTTCAAGTTGCCATACCGCGACCAAGGAATGTACCGGAGCCAGTGTAATATGTCGACACAAACGACAGCCAATCACAAAATCCACTCTTCTTGTGATTTATTTACCTATTTATCTGTACCGCCCACACAAGCATGGCACACCATGGGTACATGAAGTATCAGGACCACATCTCGGTGGCCGAGTGTGAGCCTTGTCCCTACCACGTGTGCCACCGGGCCTACATCCAGGTCGCGGACGACGATGGTGCCAACCCCCCCCCGGGGCAAACGCAACGGGCCAGGATGAACGGTGCCTTCCCTTTCTTTCAACAGGGGATGCCGAGTACATGTGCGCCTGTGCCGCTTGCTGGTGGAGCTCATGGCGCCTGGGCGACATGCTGACGGGCTTCCTTTGCACGTACATACTCCACCCCACCACACACACACAAAACGGTAATTTGACGGCACAACATGGCCCCGACACGTCGGGCCTAAGCAGGCCGTGGCACGAGTGGTGCGACTGGGACTGGTGCCTGTGCGCGTGCTGTGGCCTGCAGTGACCAAGAGCGAGCAAGAGGGTGTGGGTGTGTGGATGTACAGGAGTAGCAGAGGACCAACAGCAGCTTTTCAAGACCCCGTCTTGTTAGCACGGACATACAACGAACTCACGGTGAGGTGCGTTTCAGCATACCACAAGAAGGAGCACAAGTAGGTGGTTTATCTTCATTGATTTCTTGGCAGTGAAGGTGGAGAGTGGTGGTTGTTTACAGAAGAGAGTGGGAGAGAGGTCTATGTCACATACGTATTGGCAGAGCGAACGCCCGCCCGAAGCTTCGGGCGTTCGCATCCTCGGCCGCTTCTTAGTCGTGGTGCGGGTGGTTGTGGTGCACCTGCGGCGGCTGACCCACGGGCAAAGGGACGGGCTGGGCCATGGCCGCGGGCTGCCAGGTCGGGATGAGCGAGTAGACGAACGGCAGGAAGAGGTTCTCCATCTCCCGCCACAGCCCGCCCTGCGCCGGCTGTCGCGCCTGGGCTTCACTGCCAGTGGTGGCCGCAGCCGCAGCGGGGGCCGCGGCGGGTTCATCGGCCTCACGAGGCGCGGGGGCGTCGCCCTCGGCCTCTGCGGCCGGAGCTCGCTCTGGGACAGCAGCCGGAGGGGCCTGCTGCGCGACCGGGGCAGCAGCTGCGGCGCGGCGGTTGAGTCGCGGGAAGAGGCCCATTTGATACCTGTTCCAGGAGGCCGGCCACACGACGCGACTGTAAGTAAAGGCGCACACGTCGTTGGCCGCACGTGACGGAAGCTGAGAGAGAGATGACGACGTACAAATATACGAGGAAGGCGCCGAAGGAGAGGATCGACAGACGCAGCGAGTCACCGCCTTGAGAGAGGATGTAGATGATGACGACCAGCTTCACCAGCAGCGCCCAGTTCTGGCGACCCAGTATACCTGGGCCGGCGGGCGGGCGGGGTGCTGCGGCGGGCGCGACCTGCGGGGGAGCAGCCGCGGGCACGAACTGTGGCCTGACAAAGGCTGCTGGCGGCGCTACGCCATTGCCCGGCACGAATCTCGGGTGCGGTTGCGCGTAGGGAGGCAGCTGCTGAGGAGCGTGCTGCTGAGCAGCTGGGGCTGACCTTCGAATGTCCTGAGATGCGATGCAAAGCTGGTAAGATGGCAGATTGGTAGATATGGCAAGATGATGTTGAGGGGGGGGCGTACAGTCTGTGCGTGGATTCTGTTCACTGCCGGGGAAGTGGGGAGGCCCGATGAAGAAGAGTGGAGAGAGGGAGGAGGAAGAACAAGATGTACTGCCTGGGGTGTCTTAATGTCATACTGCGCAGGAAAATGTCAATTTAACCATCAATCCGCCTAATAAAGAGAGGCAGTGTACCTTGCTGGCAGTGATGAGGTGCGAGATGATTTGAGATCCATCATTGAGGAGGCGACCGGCGAAGATGAGCTTCTGCTGCGCGGGGGTGGGGTGGCTAGGATAGCTTCTCTGCAGCTCGTCCTTGAGATCACCCACAGTCCCCGAGTCCGACAGTTCGAGAGGGAAATCCGGCTGTCCCGCATTCTTCACCACCAGACGAACCATTGCTTTTCTTCTTATCTTGTTGATGTGTTTATCTGATGCCGCTTCTTGTTGTTCTGGCGGAAGAGGGGGTGACGTCACCACACCAGTGACACGCCGCCACGTGTTATCAAGAAATATTTGAGAAAAGAAAATTCTTTCTTTCCTTTACGCCACAAGAATTAGGCCCGTGGAGCATTAAAATCATCGTGCCGTGGCGACAAAATGGAGGGCGAGGAAGGCAAACGAATGCAAGAGCTCCTCTTTGGGGGGTCTGATGACGATAGCGACGACGACCTCGGGCTAGGTGACCTTGGCACAGCGGCAGGCGATAAATCAGGCGGCGATGAGGATAACGATGAGCTCGACATTCTCAATGAGGAGGAGGAGGATGAGACCTCTAACGCTGGGGCTCCGCTCATCGCTGATTTGCCCTCAGACGGCGAAGAGGCTGCTGAAGGGACGCGTGTAAAAGATGATAATGAAACGGCTACGGCCGCGGCTGCTGCCAACTTCAAGGACCTCTTTGGATCAGACGATGAAGATGAGGAAGTGGCACAGGAAGATGCTGAAGAAGAAACAGCAACACAACGCTACAGCGGAAGGGATGACGATCTCGATGCCGAGAGCGAAGAGGAAGATCGCTACCGCCGCAGCGATTCTCAGCGCTCCAGGTTTCCCTACACGCATTCTGATCATTCATTTATTCATTTATTTTCAATTCTTAACCATTCGCGTTGATGTAGGGCCGAAGAGGGGCGCAACGAAGAGCAGTACATCGAAAACACGCGCCTTCCTCGCCCGCCGGCTGGCGCCAAGGTGCCGGCGTGACCCCCACTCTTTCTCGTAGTGCTGCTTGCGCTGAGGCTTGACCTTCGCCACCGGTGGTGCGTGTCATCAGCTCTTCTACGTCAAGCTGCCCAACATCCTGGGGTTGGACCAGCGGCCTTTCGATCGCGACACCTTCGAAGCTGCCGATGAAGACGAGCTCGTCGAGGGGCCGGAGGGTACCACCTGCCTGCCTGCCTGCCTGCCGCGCCTGCGTCACGTGACCACCATGTCGGCTGGCCCCGCGTCTTTCTGACTTGGTGCTGCTCTACAGGGCAAAAGATGAAGCCCTTGCCGCCGGAGACCATCATGCGGTGGAGATACACCACCGACAAGTACGGCCAGCAGGTACCTGCGAACACCACACACACACACACACCGCACCACACACACACCTCCTCTTTCCTCTCTAAACAAAGCCTCGTCTTCTCACGTCTCGTGTAGAAGCGGGAGAGTAATGCCCGCTTCGTGCGATGGTCCAACGGCACGGTGCAGCTGTTCCTCGGTGGTAACGAAGAGGTACCGGCCGACACCAGCCCATGCCTCACCACTTTCCACTTATGTGTGGACCACAAACAAGCTCTCGCGCTCGTCAAGAAGGTGCTCACGTTGCATATGTTGTGCTGTGTTGTGTTGTGAGGTAAGGTCTTGGATGTGGACATGCAGAACATCACCAAGGAGAACTATCACATCTTCGCGAAGCAGAAGGGCTCGATCAAGGCCCACGGTCGTCTGGACAACAAGCTCTTCTTCACGCCCTCCACGCTCCACTCCAAATCGCATCAGAGTTCGCATCGCCCTCTTCCCTCCCCCCCCTTCGGGTGGGGAGCTTGAGCTTGAGCCCTCCCGCACACGTGTGCTGACACACGGCTCCGGTGCTGCTTTGTCGTATGCGCAGAGCTGACCATGCACTTGGTGAAGCAAAGCCAGCAGAAGGCGCGTAAGGTGAAGCTCGTCTCCATCTCGACGGTGGACCCCGAGATCGAAAAGCGTAACAAAGAAGCGGTATGTTCGCTGTGCCCACAACGGCACGCACCGCACACGACACGACACGCGCGTGCACACGCACGAGCAGCACGAGCAGCACGAACACCTGGGGCTCTGATGTTGCTTGACACTCCTCGTGCAGTTGGAACAAGAGCGTATCAAACAGAACCAGAGGAAGAAGGAGATGAACAAGTCCTACGGTCTCACATCCAACATGCTCGAGGAAGGCGAGTTCGATGACGGTACCACACACCACCGCACACACCACCGCACACACCGCACGCGCTAATGCGTTGTGCTCTCAGACGGCTCCGATGTGGACGAAAAGAGAATCCTGGACGCCAAGCACTCGTCGAGCGATCCCGTGCGGAAGAGGAATCGCGAGGCGACCACGGTCGTCAAGCGGAGGTCGGGCGGCGGTGGCGGTGGTGGCAGGGACCGGCGGTCGAAGGAGAACCTCGACGACTTCATCGACGACGACAGCGACGGCGAAGGCAGTGACGTCAACATCGATGACTGGGAGATGGGCGGTGGTGGCCGGGGGTCTGACGACGACGCCGAAAGCAGGAAGCGAAGACGTTCATCGTCTTCTTCTTCCTCCTCGCGGAGGAAGTCTGGCGGTGGTCGCTCCGACTCAGATTCCGACTGATGCCATCAAACTTGTTCGTGGTGGCGTACCTTCTTGAGAACAAACCAGTTTGCCTGCTACATGGAAGAAGAAAGAGGGCTGTCGTATTGGGTAATGTCCTATTCTCCTTAAGGTGGCTGCCCAAGGCTCTCCGCGGACGTCTGCCCAAGGCTCTCCGCACACCACTACTCTACACTCATCAGAATGCGACACTTCGCAACACCCTCCGCCATTACCATCACGAGGCTGCTGTGCGCTTGCCTGCTGGCCCTCGTGGCGTTGGTCCCGCCCTCAGCTTCAGCTGAACTACTCAGCATTCCGCTCCGTGAGGCCCCTGCGGTGTGGGCCAGACAAGTGCCACACTCCGCTTGCGCAGCTCACGTCTGCCGCCCAGATCTTCGACCCCACCATCGAGCGCCAAACCGGTCAGATCTGCCTCTGCGTACGTTCTACATTGCATTCCTCCATCTAAGATGGACTATATCTTTCTCCTCATATCATCTATATCCTGCATTCATATGCCACCAGGTCCCTGCCGAGAAGGTGCAGTCGTGCGAATTGGCAGCGGCGTTCGCCATCATCAACGACCTCAAGGCAAGCTGGAGAGCTGCGGGGCTGCGCGCGACCAGTGCTTCGCCGACAGGGACTCGTGCCGCGCCGTCAGAGCCGAGTGCTTCACTGACAGGGCTCGTGCCGGGCTGCCCGCGACCAGTGCTTCCTGGACAGGGACAGCAGCCGCGCCGACAGGTCACAGTGCATCATCGACCGCGACAACTGCCGCGCCAACTGCTGACCCCCCCCCTTTGACTCCCCCTGTGACGTGCACCTCTTCTCTTGGAATTTAACGTGTGGAATTTTCGGTTTTTAGACAAATTCGTTCAACAAAAAGACAAAGCTCAAACCTTTCGCTTCCGCCCTTCACCTTCTTGTAGAAGGATATAAATAGCAGTGGGAGGAAGGAGGGAAGGCATCTTCTCGGCCTTCGTGGCTAAGATCAAGTGTAGTATCTGTTCTTATCAGCTTAATCTCTGGTAGTGAGGCCCATGTGCCTCACCACTCAAGATTAGACTTATTTCTTGTGGGCGCCCTGGCACCAAGTCTTTGCAGCTGAGCTGCGGGGTGGTCCAGGGAGCAGTGATCAGCTTCACATTGCACACACCTGTGAAGTTCTTCAAATGGTCCACCCTTCCTCCAAACAAAGACAAACACACCATCATGTATCAAACAGGTTAATGTATCAAACAGGTTGGAAAAACTGGGCCAGGTGTGTGGAGTAAAAACCAGAAGGGCAAAGATTGCCCTTTGGTGTGTTTGTATTGAAGCAAAAAAGATAAGAGAGTTGTTGATAGTAGAGTTGGGCTAGTGAGTAGCTCGTGGTGGTAAGGCGGTTGGTGGTAGTCGTTTGGTCTACCTCCTCCTCCTGCTCTGGCGCTCGCCATCAAAGTCCTGCTCCTTGGACTCGGCCGTGGAGATCTCGCGGCCGCTTCGCTTGTTGTGGGCGCGCTCCGTGATGTCGTCCACAAAGTCGAGCGTCTTGGCCACGCCCACGGCCGCCAGGTCCTTCACCGTCTCGAGGCCCTCCGCGCTCTTGTCCTTCACCGCCTCGACGTAGTCGCGCGCCGTCGGCTCGGCACCACAAAGGCCGTTGCTGGCCTTGGCCGCCTTGTCCTTGGCGCTCTCGACCACCTCGTCGTAGGTCTCGCGGGTCTTGTCGGCCGCCTGCCTACCGGTGCGCTTGACGTTCTCCTTCACATCCTCGACGTAGTCGCGCGCCTTGTCGCCGCTCTCGCGGGCCTTGCGCTTCATCGACTCCTCGCCGTCCATCATCTTCTCGCCGCCCTTCTTCTTCATCTCGTCCATCTTCTCGCCGCCCTTCTTCTTCATGTCCTGGGCCTTGTCCTTCATCTCGTCCACCTTCTCGCCGCCCTTGCGCTTGAGCTCCTGGGCCTTGTCGCGCGCGTCGTCGGCCTTCTCCTCGCCCTTGCGCTTGAGCTCCTGGCTGCCGCGCCTGGCCATCCTCTTGCCCTCATCAGCCGACTCGCGGGCCTTGTCCTTCATCTCATCGACCTTCTCGCCGCTCTTCTTCTTCGTCTCCTGCGCCTTGTCCTTCATCTCGTCCATCTTGTCGCCGCCCTTCTTCTTCATCTCGTCCACCTTCTCCTCGCCCTTCTTCTTCAAGTCCTGGGCCTTGTCCTGCATCTCGTCCATCTTCTCGCTGCCCTGGCGCTTGAGCTCCTGGCCGCCGCGCCTGGCCTTATCCCTGGCCTCGTCGACCTTCTCCTCGCCCTTCTTCTTCATGTCCTGGGCCTTGCCCTTCATCTCGTCCATCTTCTCGCCGCCCTTCTTCTTCATGTCCTCGCCCTTGTCCTTCATCTCGTCGACCTTGTCGACGCCCTTCTTCTTCATGTCCTGGGCCTTGTCCCTCATCTCGTCCATCTTCTCCTCGCCCTTGCGCTTGAGCTCCTGGCTACCGCGCCTGGCCATCTTCTTGCCCTCCTCCACCTTCTCCTCGCCCTTCTTCTTCATCTCGTCCACCTTCTCGCCGCCCTTCTTCTTCATGTCCTGGGCCTTGTCCTTCATCTCGTCCACCTTCTCGCCGCCCTTCTTCTTCATCTCCTCGCCCTTCTTCTTCATGTCGTCCACCTTGTCGCTGGCCTTCTGCTTGAGGTCCTGGGCCTTGTGCTTGGCGCTCGCGCCCGTCTCGGCGGCGTACTCCTTGGCCTCCTCGATCGTGTCGCCGGCCTTGCGCCGCATCTCGTCGACCTTCTCGCCGGTCTTGGCCTTGGCGTCGCCCGCCACCTCGCGCGCCCGCTCGTAGCCGCGCTTGCCCTTCTCGCGCAGCTCCTCGACCTCGGCCTCGCCCTTGTGCTCGAGCTCGCGCGCCTTCTCCTTGACGCTCTCCTTCATGTCGACGGCGTAGTCGCGCGCGGTCTCGACGCCGCGCTGGGCCTTGGACTTGAGCGAGCCGAGCTCGTCAGCGGCCTCGTCCACCGTCTCGCGCAGCCGCTCGGGCATGGCGGCGGGCACCGCAACGCCCAGGCTGCGGGCCGTCGTGTAGCCGTGCCACGCCGACGAGCCCACGCCGAGGGCGGCCATCGTGCCGGCCGGGTAGAGCTTCCAGGTGCGCGCGAAGCGGCTGCCCATCACGCCCGCCAGCGTCAACGACGAAGCTGTATTATTTGGTCGCGTAGCGGAATGGAATGTTAGGAATGTGCGTGTCGTGTCGTGTCGTGTCTCGTGTCGTGTGCGATGGGAAGGATGGAAGATGGAAAAAGATGGTGGGAGGGTACCGAGGGCGATGGTGCGGCCGGAGCCGCTGGTGGCGGGGTCCTGGAGGAGGTAGCCGCTGACGCCGAAGAGGGTGCCGAAGCCGAGGCCGGCGGCGAGGCTGGGAACGGACTTGGTGGAGCGGAAGCCCTTGACGCCCATCAACGCGGTGGCCGCGGCCATGCCGTAGGTGGGCAGGGCCTCGCCAAAGTTGGTGCCTCGGCTGGGGTTGTTGAGGCTCTTCGCCTCGTTGGTGGTGTCCATCTTCTGTTGCTTCTGCATAGCTGCTGTGTCTGCGCCAAGTCAGATCAACAACGAAGCAGATTTCAAAAGAGAAGAGAAGAGTTTGTTTGCAGTACCTGGGTGTGTGGAGAGATTAAGAGATGAAGGGGAGGTGTTGCAGAATGTTCGGAACAAGGGCTAAGTAAGTGGTGAAGCTGTTGGTGTGTGGTTGCTTGTGGAATAATGGTTTGAACGATGGAGCGCAGGGGCTCTTTGAAGGTGCGGTGCGAGGGGCACCATGGCGCATCCACAGCTGACCTGCCGTCCTCCTTCCATTTGCTTTTCCTCCGCTTTGTACCTTCCCTGCGCAATCCCCGACCGATTATCCGCATATTTCACATTTTCTACCTACAACCGTTGTTCTATTCACAAAAATTCAAGAATTTTAGGAATGCAGTTCTTATTTTCATTCTTTTTTTCGATGGTTGGATGTGGGCGAGAACTCGTCGGTGCTGGCTGGTCAAGATGGACCACTCTCGCGCGAGGTCGAGGATCTGAAGCGATCACACCACCACCGATGCCCACCTTGCCATCATGACCTCACCCTCCTCTCCCTCTCCCCCCTGCCTCTGCCTCGTCCCCCTCGCGGCCCAGGCCGTGCTGCACCGCCCCGACCTCTCGGCGGGGCTCTCGGCGCCGCTGGCTTGCTGGCCAGGCGGCTGGCGATGTTGAACTTGGGCTGCCCGCGCAGAAGGTTGGTGGCCTCGGGCGTGGCGTCCTCGACGTCGGTCAGCGACGAGGCGGCCGACGATGACGACGACGACGAAGGCGAGGTGAGGGGCGTCAAGGGTGCGACCGGCTGCAGCCGGGCGGTGAGCTCGGCGGCGCCCGCGGAGCCGAAGCAGGCGTGGAGCTGGGCCACGAGGTCGTGGTGGTCGCGGCTGCAGCTGAGCTGGTGCCGCAGGTCGGCCGGGCCGGCGTTGATGATGTCGCGCAGGTTCTCGAAGCGCGAGAGCAGGGCGAGCACGGGCACGATGCCGAGGCCGGGCAGCTCGCGCAGGAAGGCCAGCCGGCGGGCGTTGGCGTCGAGGAAGTCGGCGCCGAGGCCCACCATGCCTCCGCCGTCGAGCATCTCCTTACGGGCCAGGTGGTAGATGAGGTCGGCCGAGTGGGCCTGCGACGAGGAGTGGAGCAGGGAGTAGTGGATGCTGCCCTGCGTCAGCTGCATCAGCGCGTCCATCGACTCGACGTAGTTCCTTCCTCCACTGCGCGGCAGCTCGGTGAGCATCCCGCAACCGCACACAAAACACGATACGCACAGCACGCGCATGACATGCGTGGGTGAGAAGGGAGGACGTACGGCGCGATGCCAGACTTCTCGTCCTGCTCGAGGAGGAAGACCAGACGAAGGCCGACCTTCTCCGCGTCGGCGATGGCCTGGCTTACCTTGTCCCGCTGTCCGCCCTCCTCTAACTCCTTCTGCGTCTTCCTGACCACTGCCAGGCCTATTGATGCCGTATAGTCGTTAGCGTCGTGTCGTGTCGTGCGGCGCCGTGTCGTGTCGTGTCGTGTCGTGTCGTGTCGTGTCGTGTCGTGTCGTGTCGTGTCGTGTCGTGGTACCTCCGTTGCGGCATGAGACCAGGAAGTCGCCTGGTGGTGGCAGGGAGTAGACCACTGGCGGCGCCTTCCACTTGTTGCGCAGGATCTGGGGGATCTGCGATCGGCCGAGCTGCACCGACGACACGATGATGACCGGCGGCGTCTTCTTCCTCGCTCTCCGCAGCTCGGGCGTGCTCGGCATGCGCGGGAGGAGGTGTGCGGGCAACCGCGATGGCGAGTTGACGTCGAGCGGGAAGGGCGACTGGGGCGATGGCGCGGGCGACGACGCGGCGCTGAGTGCCGACAGCGTCACCCCGCGGCGTAGCGGGGAACGCGTCGGCGGGGCGGCCATCGCCGGCGGGGTGAGGAACGCGTTGGGCGACGACGGCGGCGACATCACCGTCGACGTCGACGGCGACGACGACAGCGCCGTAAGGGACGTGAGCGACCGCTTCTTGTTGGACGCTGTCGGCTGCGTCGTCGTGGTGGTCGTTGTCGACGGCACGAGGTAGGGCGAGGGCGGAATGCTCATCGTCCTGCGGAGCGCCGGCTGGTGGTGGCTGTTGCTTGTCGCGCTGATGTCGCTCACCGGCGTCGGCGTTGTGGATTTCGCTGGCGAGGTCGGCGAAGACGACGTGTCGGAGGAGAACGAAAACGAAACGCCCAGACTCCAATTGGCCGCATCGTCGTTGTAGTGTTCGTCGTTGTAGTCGTCGGGCTCCTGCTTGACAGCGGCGGCAGCGGTTTCCTCGATCTGGATGGTTACGTTGCTCTTCCGCAGCTTCTTCGCGGCCGGCTCCTTCTGGGCCTCCTCCTCGTGCTGCGGCGGCAGTGGCTCGTCGAGCGTGCTGGGCAGTTGCGGGAAGGCCGTCGACAGGTCGAGACCCTCGAACTCATCGAGAGCCCCGAGTGTCCAGTTGGGCGTCGCGGCATGCGAGGAATTCGCAGCGAGAGCGGGAGCCGACAGCGGAGTAGCCGGAGCTCTAGCTGGTGGGATCGAAGTCTTGGTCGTGGTCGTCATCGTGGACGTCTTCGAGCTGGAGCTGCCACCTCGCGGCCCCCACATCACCAGATCATCGTCCCCGTAGTCGTCATCGGTCACGACCTCGGCCTCGGCGTCGTTGTCGACATGATCATCGACACCGGCCAGGCCAAAGTCCAGCCGCCGCCCGACCGACACGGCTTGGCCGGGCTGAGGCACGCACGGGGCGCCGCGCTTGATCGACGGCGTGGTGGTGGTGGAGGAGTCTGGCGAAGAGGCGATGAAGGATGACGTGGCGGGTGAGGTCTCCCAGGAGCGCGGGGCGGGGGAGGTCTCGGGCGTGTGCTCGACGAAGCGCATCTTGTACTTGTTGGGCACCTGCCGCTTCGGCGTACGGAAATTGGCCGGACGCGCTGACGCCTGGCTCAGCATCGATTGCCTGACAAGAACCGCAACCTAAGCCACAGTCGTGTGTGTGTGTGTGTGTGTGTGTGTGTCGTGTGTGTGTGTCGTGTGTGTGTGGTGTGTGTGTGGTGTGTGTGGTGTGTGTGTTACCGGTAAATTGCGAGATCGTTTTCTGGTTCTTCGGCATCACTGGCCTCGTCGCTGGGCGACTCCTCCTCTATGGTGCCGTCGCAAATGAATGAATCCAGGTCGCCATTCTCGTCTTCGTCGTCATCGTCGTCATCTTCGTCTTCGTCATCACAGCTGTTCCCAACGGAGGAATGCAAACAATGAAACCCACAGCTCAGCTCTGGACGTACTGTCAGCACGAGGTGGTTCATCGTACCTGGCTTCGTCGTCGACCATGTTGGCGAGCAGTCGCCGGCGCATGGCCGACTCGGTGGCCTTCTTCTTGGGCTCTTCCTTCTTCTTGGTGGGTCCTTCTTCTCTTCGCCGTTTGTTGTTCGGTTCCCTCTTCTGCTTTTCGTTGACGACAACCTCGAAGTCATCTTCTCCTTCATCCTCCACTTCCTCGATCTCCTCTTCCTCCTCCTCGACTTGCTCTTCTTCTCCTTCGTCTTCTTCGTTTTCGTTTTCTTCTTCGTCTTCGTCTTCGCTTTCGAGGTGAATGACTTCGCTCGCCGCCTGCTGCTGCTTGGCTTTCTTGGCCGTAGCGGCGCCCTTCCGCAACCGCCTCCGCTGACGCGGGGCCTCGGCAGGCTCGTGGCTCAGTAGCGAGTTCACCAGCAGGTGGCTGGGCGAGTCCACCGCCGTGGCCCCGCGAGCCACCGACGGCGGAGTGCAGAATTCCTGCAGAATCGAGTCCTCCTCGCTCTGCAGTTGATCGACGCTGGGCTTGTGTTGCAGTGCGACCGGCGCCTTCGCGGTCGCGTCGGCGGCTCGTCCACGCGCGTCTTCGCGCATCTCTTGTGACCCCGCACTCGCTTCGGCGGCGGTCGTGGATCGCGCCTGCTGCGGGGACGGCCCCGCTGGCGCCTTGCGCTTGAGCGACAGCGACCGCCTGGCCAGCTGCGGCTGCTGCGGTGCCACGGTCAGGAAGGCGGCGGCTGCGGCGGTCACCGCCAGTGCTGCTGCAGCGCTCGGCTCGGCTTCCGCCTCAGCCTCCGGAAGACAAGGCGAAGGATTGGGCGAAGGCGACGACGACGGTACGGCAGCGACACTCAGCAGCTGCGGAGAAGTCGGGCCGTGCGCGGTCGCCTTGCGCAGCTCGGAGTCGTCGGACCACCGCTTGGCGGAGAGGCGCGACCCCAGCTTGGTTGTCGGTCTTTCGACCACTGGCGGTTGCGGCGTGGCGGCCTTCTCTTCGTCGCGCTGTACTACCGCGGCAGGCGGCGGCTGCTGGGCGTCAGACTCGCTGGGCTTCGCCTGCAGTCCGTCGAGGTCGATGGCGAGGGCGATTTCGTCGAACATGCTGTCGTCGCCCAACGAAAAGGCCGAGGGCGCCTGCGCCCAGGCCTGGTGCTCCTCTTCCGGCTTCGCCCGGGTGCTGCTCGCCGTCGCCGTCTGGCCAGCCGACAACGAAACCGCACTCGAGTCGAATGCAGCGGTGGCCGCGCTCGAAGTCGCTGAGGGTTTGGGGGCAGACGGTATCGACGTAGGCGTCGACAGAGCGGAATCCTCCGCTGTGGGCGGCGGGCGAGGCGGACAGGGTGATGAAGTCACGACGGGCGGCACGGAAGGCGATTGCTTCATCGCTGGACGGAGGGCGGAGGCTGCCGATGTAGCGGCCGCGGGCGTGTTGGCCAGGCTCGCTTCTCGCTTGGCCTCCAATTCCTTCTCCGCGCTGTCGGTGACAGACGCGAGAAAGAGCGAAGCGAGGCTGGGAAAGAACGAAGACGGCGAGACGGAGGCGTGACTGCCGCCACTGCCGGCCGTGGCCGCGAATACGCCCAGCATGCACTCGTCGAGTACCGCCGGGTCCTCTCTGTCGGCGTGGCTGATCATCAGCATCGGGCAGTCCGCCGGCGCGAACGCCCGTCTCTTCTCCCGCTCCCTCTCCTTCCTCCGCTCCTTCTCGCCCTTCTTCACCTGCCTCCGCCTCTCCCGCTCCGCCGCGGCGATGAAGTCGTCTGCCGCGTCGTCTTCGTCATCGTCGCTGAGTACCACCAGCGTGTGCGCAGCCCCGGCGGCGGTGGGAGGAGTGGCTTGTCGCTGGAGCGCGGTGGCAGGTGGCGCCGGCGCCGCGCTCGACCGGTCATTTCGCGCGACCCCCTCGTTCACGTCCATCACCATTGGCTCGACGCCCATCGCCGTAAGTCCGCCCCAATCGTGAGTCTCGAACTCGTACTCGTCATCGCTCTTCTGCTCCTTCTCTTTGCCCTTGTCCCTCTTCGTGTTGGCGGCGCGTTGCTTCTCGACGACGGCGCGGGGCGGGTCGACCGCCGCCACCGGACCACTCGCGGCCGGCTTGGGCCTCTTGAGCGAGTCGTCGCTGAACGAGACCCGACGCTGGAGATTGCGAAGTCTCGACGAGGTGATATTGCCCGCGGCGGGCTCGGGCGGCTTGGGCGCAGCGGCGCTGGCCGTAGCCTTGGCGCTGGTGGCAGCGCCCTTCTTCTTGGTATCCGCCGACGAGTCGCTCGGGAGCGTGGTGGTGCTCTTCAAGGCTTTTGTTGGCTGGGGTCCCGCCCGGTCGGTGGCCTTCGCCTTGGACTTGGGCTCCTTCGCAGACGAGGGCACGGTCCAGTCGTCAAGTACGCTGTCGTCATCGTCCGACGCATCGTCGTTATCGCGGCGTCTCTCCTCCTCAAGCACGTGAAGATCCTCCTCGGTGAAGATCGAGCTCACTCGGCTGTTTCGTACCGGTGCTGTTGGTACGTTGTGTGTGTGTGTGTGTGTGTGTGTGTGTGTGTGTGTGTGTGGTGTGTCGTGTGTGTGTGTGTGTGTGTGTTGTGTGTCGCGTGTGTCAGCAAGGCTGTGCTGACCTAACAACAAGGACGGGGAGGGTACCGGCCGCAGGTCGTTTCACGTTATGTAGGGCGGCGTGGAAGTCAAATTCGAGCGGATCCTCCTCCTCAGGTGGCGGCTTCGTCAGTTTGGGCTTCTTGGCGGCGCGCGATCGAGTCGCGGGTCGAGCCGCAACCGTTTCGGGTTCGATGTAGTCCATATCCAGGAATTGTTGCATCTGAGGACAGCGTGTGTCACCACATCAACATTTAAATGAATATGTACAGAAATATGTCAAGTTATGGCGGCCCAGCTGTACCTCGTCGCCATAGGCGTCATCGTAGTCGGCCGAGTTATCGTCCATGAATTGCATGACGTTCATCAACAGGAGCGCGCGATCCGAATGGGCGATGTCGTGCACCGGCGTCGGCATTGCCTGTTGGGGCAAACGCAAGGGTGTGAGCTCAAGGCCATTCACGCGCTCTCCGCTCTCGAGACGGGAGTGTGGGATTACCTGGCGATCGAGGTGGGTGTCGAGGGAGAGCGCGGGCAGCTCCACTTCGTCGGTCGCGCCGTAGTTGCTTCGCAGCCAGGCCGCCTGATGCTTGTCAAGATAGGCGCCCCTGGGCACGACGCCGGCCGACTTGCCCCCCTTCGTGCCCTTGACTTTCTTCTTGGGCGACGCAATCGTCATGTGCCGCTCGTCCACCTTGGGCTTGATCTCGACCGGAATCTGCACCATCAGTCAAACACCGAGCCCAGCCGCGCCAGCGTTACCATGACGATCACTCAACTGGTCACCACCAGCGGCCGCAGCATTTCGAATGCACTGTGGTACCTACCATGCGCGGACACTCCTTGTAGAGGGCGAAGCTCTCGGGCTTCATGATCTTCATGTTAATGCTCTTGCTGGTCTGCTGGCTCTTCTTGAACACGGCCTCCTCGGCGCCCTCGGTCACCAGCACAACTGAAGTCGTGCCCCCCCCCAATCGTCAGTTTGAGAGCGGACGGAAGGCGGTGGTGCGAACGCCCAAGAATGAAGGGTGGTAGAAGTGGTACCGCATCGGCCGTCGCGCTTGCGGCCGGTTCGGCCCATGCGCTGGACCATGCGAGTGGGCGACGCCTGGGCGTCGAAGCAGATGATGAGGTCGACCTCGCCGATGTCGAGGCCCTCCTCACCAATGCAGGTGGACACCAGCGTGTTGTAGCCGCCCTTCTTGAACTCCTCGATGACCCGGCTCTGCTCCTTCTGTGTGAAACCCGCAGACGATCGCCCTACGCCCTGGCCAACGAACGGCATGGACTTGATGTGCGGGGCGTGAGGCGCGAGAAGCTCGCAGATCTCCTCGACCGTGTCACGGAACTGAGCGAAGATCATGACCCGCGTGTTCCCTCCAGGGCTCCGCTCTGCAGAGACGAATTAAAAACAAACACGTGCGTGTGCGTGTGCGTGTGCGTGTGCGTGTGACGGCGGAGTGAGAGGTAAGCCACGTACGGAAGTGTTGGAGAACGAGTTCCTCGACCTTTTGGAGCTTCGGATGGTTGAAGCCGGCATTGTCGGCAAACTCTTCGAGCATGAGCATCAAGTTGTGGAACTGGGGCATGTTGACCAGCGCCTTCTTCGACTTGGCCGTGCCCTCTTTGTTCGCCTGCACCTCCTCTCGCAAATCTGAAGAAGAGAGACTTAGCTCAGCTGGCGTCACGTCTGCAGTAACGAATGAAAGCGAAGAAGCCTTAGAGGGAGTAGGTACCGGACAGGTAGTTCTTGGTGGCCCTGAACCCATAGGTGTTGAGAAGGCCCCAGGCGTGGTAGAGCGTGATGGCCAGAGCGAACTGAGAGTGCACTTGGCCGTAGGCGTTGGGCGGAATGGCGGGCGAGGGATGTCCCTCGAACTTGCGTTTGGCGTCAAGCAGAAGAAACCTGCTGGCCTGGTTGGGAGAGAATATATAAAAATATATACATATATGTGAACACACACGGCACACACACCACATACACGCGACACGACACGACACACACACAGACACGACATACACACAGACACAACACGCACACGCACACGCACGCACAAGACAGCACGAGGTCTGACCTGCACGAACCTTCTCGGGCTCGTTCGTCCAAAAGGCGCGCATGTTGTGGAGCTTGTCGAGAGGTATCTTGAGGAGTTCGATGAACAGACTGCGCGCGGCGTTGAGCTCGGGCGTGAGCGACAGCCGCACCATCTCCAGCTTGGTGCTGTGAATGTAGGCCCGCACGTCGATGTCCTCTGACGTACGCACCTCCAGGTTCGAGATGAGCAGATTGTGGATGACCTGCTGCACCTGCTCCATGTTGGCTGGGCGGAGAAGAAGCGTCAGGCCTCGCTCCCAAGTCGACAGTAAATGCAGGGGAAAAAGAGAGACGCACAGCCAGGAGTGGCACTGAGCGCGAGAATGCGAAAGTGGCGCGTGGCAGAGGCGATCGCTTTCACCACGGTGCAGTAGGCGTAGTTGCCCAGAGCGCGGTGGGCCTCGTCGACCACGAGACACACGATGGACTTGGCGTCGCAGGCCTGCCTGCTGATGTCGTTCGTGAGGATCTGGGGCGTCACGTAGAAGACGCGCTTCGAGCGCCACGCCTCGCGTCTCTTCTCGGGCGAGATCTGGCCGGTCATCGTCACAGTGTCATCTGCGGCCCGACATGCCCCGAGGCAGGTGGTCAGTTTAGTTTAGCCCTAAGAGCTCACGTGAACGGCATATGCGATCCGCACCCTCAGGCAAGCCCATGATTTGGTAACAGGCCGTGATCTGCTGCGCGACCAGCGGTTTCGTGGGCGCCATGAAGACTACCTTGCCCTCGGGAAACCAGCGGTAGAAGTTGTACATGACTGTGGTGTGTGTGTGTGTCAGTCTAATGGTCACCAGCACCCAAACCCAGCGGGGTCAGTACCCACGGCGGCGATGAACGTTTTGCCCAGGCCTGTCGGCAAACTCACCAGGGTGTTGCGGAATAGGGCCTTCCTGGTGATCGAGTACTGGTAGTCCCTGCGCGGGTAGTTGGCTGCAGCCGTGTGCGGGTGTGGAGCAATGAGACGCTGGCCGGGCACGCACACGCACGCGCGCGCGCGCCACACACACACGCAACACACACATGCACATGCACCAAAAGGTGAGGCGCGCGTACAGGGATATATCCACGAGTCCGCAGCGTCGAGGTCGAGCCGCGGTGGCTCGTCATCCTCGGGCTCGGGGAAGTGGAACGCGAGGTCGATGCTCCCGCCGCTCTTCCGCCTACCACCGCCGCCACCGCCGTTTGTTCGCTCTTCGCCTTCATCGTCGCGCTCCGCTTCGTCTCCCTCCTCGCCAGCCTGCGCTTGCTCCTCCTCGTCATCGGGAAAGGACTTGCCCCTTCCGCGCCCTCTGCCTTTGACGATTCCCTGCGCACCGCCTCGGCCGCGGGCTCCTCCCCCTCGACAACCCCGGCCCCGTCCGCGCCCGCCGCTTCCTCCACCACCCGCCGACGGCGATGCGATCTCGCCGCGGCCCCTTCCGCGCCCGCCGCGCAACGCGGGCGAAGGAGCGGCCGGGCTCCGCTGCGTTTGTGTAGACTTGCCCTTGAGCAAGTAGGAGCCGGGCGTCGATGGCGTCGCTGCAGTTGTGACTGTGGCGGCTGTGGTGCGGCTCGTGGTGGTGGAGCTCATCAGCCGCTGCTCGGCCTGCTGCATGCTCCGACTGCGGAGGGCTGAGTTGGCGAACAGTGACGCGCTACCAGAGGAAGCAGGAGTGGAGGAAGAGGAAGAGGAAGAAGAGAAGGCGGGCGAGGGAGAACGAGAGGTGAGAGAGGTGAGCGAGGGGCGAGGCGACGAGGCTGCCGTGCTGGCAGGTGAGGTAGAGGTAGAGGTAGAGGTAGAGGTAGAGGTAGAGGTAGAGGTAGAGGTAGAGGTAGAGGTAGAGGTAGAGGCGAAGGCGGGTGCAGAGGTGGGTCGAGGGGCGGAGGCCGAGGAGGTGAACTGCAGTGTTGGCCTTTGAGTGAAGCGGGGCTTCTGCGTCAGGGTAGTTGTATTGGCGGCATGTGGCTGCTGGTGATTGGCAGCAGGCTGGCGACTCTGTGCTGTGTGATTTAATTCGATTTGGCTGAGCTCAGCCAGAAAGGCCGGGTCAAAATAGTCGTCCTTCATTGAGTACATGAAGAAATCCAATTAGCGTGAATCACTTGATGCCACGGCGTTGCAGAAAAATAAATGGTCAGAGGTACGTACCATGGAGGGTGGCCAAACGAGGGGTACCGGCCTTGTGCTTCTGTTCCCCTTTGATGTTCAAGCTTGATGTGTTGTTCGCCCCTTTTCTCGACTTCCGCTAAGAGTTTCGGAGTCACGCCCTTTTCAAGCTAAAAACCTGATTTTTGTCCCATTCAGTTGGCAATTTGCAGATGGAGTCACGAATGACCCTTGTCACCGGACTCGCTGGTGCCTGCGTACGCAGCATACTGCTCTCCTTCTCATTTTCTCTTTTCATCTCCCGCTTATACCCTCCTCTTTTCTTTCAATTGAAATCCAATCCACGTAGGGCGTGGCGGGGAGGGTGCTGGGGCGAGGATTGGGCAGCGGTGGTTTATTGTCCGCTGTGTCGGTGGTCGCGGCCACCACGTCAGCCTCTCCGGGCGCTGCCGTGGGAGACGTCACTGGCATGAGCTCCGGCTCTTCCTCGGGCAGCGGCGGCGGTCTGCTGGCCGGCCTGCAGGCGGCAGAGGCAGCGTGGGCCGTGTGGCCCGGCGGTGCCCTCCTCTCGCAGTGGCTCGGCAAGCCCACCCTTGGTACGCCGCACCATCAAAGCTTCTCTGCCTTCGACTCCAAATCGGATGACCAGCGCAACTCGCGATCACGGGTGTGGTGCAAACCCAGGCGATGGCTGGGGCGGGCTGCTGTGGCGTGTGGCGTTGGTCGTGGCGGCCGCCGCAGCCGGCGAGGCGCTCCGCGTTGTCGTGCAGAGCGCCGGCGAGCGCATGTGGGAGCGTATCACAGAGCTCACCACAACCACCGCCACGGTACCGGCCATCCACTTTCCCACTATAACGTGTGCGTGCGTGGTGTTCGAGCGCTAAATGACTTGCCTTTGGGTTGCGCAGCTGGACAGCGACGACGAAGCGTACAGGTGGCTGCTCCTGTGGCTGGCCGACCACCCGTCGTTCAAGACGTCGCACTCCTACCAGGTCACCTCGTCCATGCACAAGTGCGTACGCCTTCCATACGTGACGTGACGTGGTCTGTGGGCCACACACACAGGGAGATGGGAGAGCGTTTGGGACTCATTGAGCGCCTCGCCGCCATCGCAGGTACGCCCGCTCGGTCGCGGGCGAGGAGGAGGAGGAGAACGGCAACGGTGTGTGGTTCACCCCGGGCTCGGGCTCGCACTGGTTCCGCTTCAGAAACAAATACGTCCTTCTCCGTCGCACGAGCTCAGGTACGGCACACAACAAACTCTACTCAAGTGGAGAGCGAAGCAAACGAAGCATTGTTATTTTCCTTCCGGTTGGCTCTGATTCAGGTTCGCGCTACTCGAACGAGGGCATTCGCGGAACCGATCGAATCAGCATCATGATGCTGGGCAAGGCGACGGCGCGCAGCCAGATCAGCAGCCTCATCGAAGAGGTACCACTTCAGTCCCACTGGTCGTGCTCTATCGATTTATATTTCTTAATTCCGCTTAACTTTTGCGCAGGCGCGGCTGACGGCAGCGAATAAGGACAAATCGCGCACGGTCGTGTACGTGGGCGACCAGTACGGCAACTGGGCGCGCTCGACGGCGCGCAGCATCCGTCCGCTCTCCAGCGTCATCCTGGAGGAGGGCGTCGAGGAGAAGCTGGTTCGCGACGCCAAGGACTTCCTGCGGAGCGCCAAGTGGTACTCCGACCGCGGCATTCCGTACCGCAGGGGCTATCTCCTTCACGGTACGCAGTTTTTCCATTCGCCCCAGATCCCGTGTTGTGTGCGTGTGTGTGCGCGCGCGCGTGTGTGCGGTGTGCGGTGTTAATCACGCTCCCCCCACAGGCAAACCTGGATGTGGTAAGACTTCGTTTATCACCGCTCTGGCCGGCGAAGTGCGCATGAACATCTACGTCATCAACCTTGCCAGCAAAGGTGTGTGTTTCTCTCTTCAGTGCACACTGTGTCGCAAACACGTTTCATATCTTCTTCTCTTTTCTGTGCAGCGCTCAATGACGAGGTGTTGGCCGAGCTCATGCGCGGCGTTCCCTACCGGGGTATTGTGCTGTTCGAGGACATCGACGCCGCCTTCGTGCCCAACGGCCCGGGCGACGGCAGCGAAAGCGACAGCGAGGACGAGGGCCGAGGCCGAGCCAGAGAGAACCTCGGCAACGGGGTCACCTTCAGCGGTCTCCTCAACGTCTTGGTACGTACTCTCCAGTCCCGCGGCCGTGTGTTGCGTGTGTGTCGTGTGTCGTGTGTGCCGTGTGTGCCGTGTGCCGTGTGTCGTGTGGCTCATATGTTCTTCCTCCGGCTAGGATGGTGTTGCGTCGGCGGAGGGCCGTGTGGTGTTCTTCACCACCAACCACTTCTCGCGCCTGTCGAAGGCCCTGATCCGACCCGGCCGGGTGGACGTGATCGTCAAGGTGGGCCTCGCCACCGTCACGCAGGCGCGTCGCATGTTCCACCGATTCTACGAGGAGCTCGACGAGGCCGAGGCCCTGGCCGATCGGTTCGCCGCGAGCTTCCTCCCCGACTCGGTGTCCATGGCCCAGCTGCAGGCCTACCTCATGAACTACAAGGAGGACCCACACGGCGCGCTCCGCGATGCGCCCACGCTACTCTTTCCCGCGACCACCGCCAAGGCCGCACCAGAGCTGTGACACGGACGCGTGTCATGTGTGTCGTGTCGTGTGTGTCGTGTGCGGTGTATCGAGTGCGGTTGCCACAATGTTTGGAATTCCAAACGAACAAAGCGAACAACGCAGGACGAGAGCAGTTCCCAACTCGACTTGGGCCTTGTGGCGCTACGCGAATCGAGAATCAATCAAAAGAAGACAACAGAAGAGGAAGACCTGAAGATGGAAGACAAGTACAGGAGGGAAGTGGTGCCGCAGGGTTCGCGTAACGTGCAGCCGTACCCGTGGCTCGAGGTCACTACGCTGCCTCGATTGCCGATCCCAACGATCGAGGAGACGGCACGTCGGTACGACGAGTACCTCCAGCCACTGCTCGCCGAGGCCAGCCCCGCCGATCTGGCCCGCACGCGTCGATTCGTGGCCGATTTTGTGAAACACGATGCCGCAGGGCTGCAGGCCGATCTGCACAACCTCGCCCGCGTGTCGCCCACGAGCTGGCTCGAGGGCTGGTGGGACACTGGCTACCTCGAGTTCCGAGTGCCCTCCTTCATCAACGTCAACCCCTTCTTCGTGTTCAAGGCCGACCCCGCCAACCCTGCTCAGGTCCCCTCAATCGCTGTTATAAGATTAAGGCTTTATCTTTTATTTTTGCTATTAATTATTTATTTGCTAATTAAATTTATTTATTTGTTTAGCTTCTGTCCATTATTTTATTACGATTTATTTAATTTTGACTTGATATTTTTCTTTCTTTTATTTCCGGCGCTACACGACAGACTGCACGAGCGGCGCAGATCGTGGGCAGTGCAGTGCGCTTCTACAAGAAGGTGGCCACCAAGGGTGGGCTCACGCCCGACCTCGAGCGTAAGACGCCGCTGTGCATGACCCAGTACGGCCGCGTGTTCGCCACCGCCCGCATCCCGCTCCCCGGCCGCGACGCCGTCTACTCGTGGACCGGCGTGCGCCACATCGTCGTACTCCGCAAGCGCCAGTTCTTCACGCTTGACGTGCTGACGTCAGCCGGCGAGGCCGTGGCGGAGTCCCACATCCACGCGCAGCTGGACGCGGTCGTGCGCGAGGCCGACCGGCCCGGCACCCACCAGTCATTCCCCATCGGCGCCCTCACCGCCGAGGACCGCGACGCGTGGAGCGCCGCCCGCGCCGAACTGGTGCGCGCGCACCCGATCAACGTCGCGTCGCTCGAGGTGGTCGACCGCGCCCTGTTCGTGCTGGTGCTCGAGGACGAGGCGCCGGCCGACCTCGACGCCACCGCGCGCCTGTTCCTCCACGGCGACGTGCGCAATAGGTGGTTCGACAAGCTGCAGTTCCTGGTGTGCGCCAACGGCGTGGCGGGCGTCAACATGGAGCACTCGCCCATCGACGGACACACCATCCTGCGCCTGCTCACCGAGATCCACAACGAGGTGCTCGCCCGCAACGGCACCATTCTCACCGAGGGTCCCACCGCCCCGGCACCCAGGTACCACACCAACACCAACATTACTCGCATTCCTGTCTCTCTAGTTTAACGGTTCTTGCCAGACGTCTGGAATGGATCGTGCCCGCCAGCTCGCCGGTGGCCGATGCCCTGGAGGCTGCCAAGGTATCTAGAGATATATATATATATATTTCTATATATATTTTTATATATATAAAACTATATCTCTAAATTAGCAGGACTAACTCTCCGCGGTTTGGCTGATTGTATCAGGTGCACGCTGGCGAGTTGATCGCCAAGACGGACACGTCGGTGCTCATTTTCAAGGACTTTGGTCAGAAGAGGATTGTCGGTGCGTTGCCAGCCTCCTGGTGTGCTACATCGCCACGCCGCAGTGGTGGTGGGCCAGAGCCGGTGGCTGACATGTCTTTGTCCGACCCTCGGCCCAGAGCGCAAGGTCAGCCCTGACGGGTTCGTGCAGATGGCCTACCAGCTGGCCTACTACAAGCTGTACAAGAAGACCGCTTCCACCTACGAGGTATCACACCACCGCACACACGCACACGCACCACCGCACACGCACCACCGCACACACACACACACACACACACACAGAGAGAGAGAGAGAGACTCACCCTGTTTTGTTGCGTTGCGGCGTGCCAACAGTCCGTGCAGATGAAGCAGTACTATCACGGCCGCACCGAGTGCCTCCGCTCCGTCACCAACGAGTCCGTCCACTTCACCAAGACCGTAAGCTCCTCGACACCATTTTATTATTATTGTTATTATTCATTAATTTAATCCCATTTTTATTTTATATTTGTTATTATAACTGAAACTGACTTGACTTAATCGACCATGGTCGGTCAACAACGCACAGTTCACGTGCCCGAAGGCCGACAATGCGAAGAAGGAAGCGGCGCTCCGACAGGCGATCGAGGCCCACGGACGACGAGCCAAGGAGTGCAAGGAGGGCAGGGGCGTGGACAGGCACTGGCTGGGCCTCAAGTCCATCGCCCGGCACAAGGAGCAGTGGTACCCGGGCTTCGTCATGCCCGAAATGTTCTCCGTACGCAACCGCAGGCATTCCCGATTTCTTCTCCCGCGCTTGACTAAGTTGGTGTGTGTGTCGTGTGTGTGCGTGTGTCGTGTGTGTGTCGTGTGTGTGCGTGTGTCGTGTGTGCGTGTGTCGTGTGCGTCGTGTAGGATCCGTCGTACTCGAAGCTGTTCGGGTCGGTGCTGTCGACTTCCAACTGCGGCACGCGGGCGCTTGATCTCTTCGGCTTCGGTCCGGTCATGGACGACGGCTTTGGTCTGGGCTACATGATCCACCCCGAGGTACCCACCACCTCATCGACACTCAAGCCTCGAACACCGCCTTGTCAGTGGGGCCGCCCAATAACTGAGCAAACACAACAACAACAACAACAACAACTAATCAACCGACCACCAAACCCACCAGGCGATCCACATCTGCGTGTCCAACTTCCACGGACAGGCTGCCGCGTTTGCCGCCGCTCTCCGGGAGTCGCTGGTGCAGATGCTCGCCATCCTCTCCACCTCCACCCCCGCCCAGGCCCGCCTCTAGAGTGCTGGGCTCGCTTCAAGACTCTGCGACAAAGCAAAGCAAAGCAAAAGTGTTCAATCAGCAGTTTAATCAATCGTCATCAGCTCAGGATGCAATGCAACGGCCTTCATGAGAGCAGGTCGGGCGCGCCCTTCATGGGACTGATGAGGATGTCGGACAGGCGGCCCTGGAGCAGCTGCAGCTTGGGCGGCGCCTGGGGCGCGGCGTCGGGCGACGGGTTGTGGGTGTGCGAGGGCGGGTGATCGGCCACGAAGTCGCCCGGCAGGAAGGCCCACGCCGGCGGCTGTGCCGCCAGTATGCCCATGCGCTGGAACGCCGCCGCCACCAGCTGCGAACAGAACCACGTCCCCTCCGCCGGCACCGCCTGCAGCCATAGTGGGATCCCCCCCTCATCAGACACACACACGCACACACCACCGCACACGCACACACCACCGCACACGCACACGCACGTGCACGCATTAAGGAGGCGGCGTACTCCAGTGCCGTAGGTTTTGACGATGTCGAGTAGGGAGCAGTAGGGCTTGCCCGCGATCTCCTGGGCAAAGTCGGTCAAGGCCTGCAGCATCTCGGGCGTTCGGTTCACCTCGAGCCGTCGTATGGCGATCTTGGCCGTCTCGCGGTAGAAGTCGAGCCGGTGGTCCAATCGGAAGATCCGCACGCCGTCCACGATCGCCTCCAGCAGAAACAGGCCCTCGTTGTCCGGCCTGCGCAGAGCCGTGGCGCGACAGCCGATATAAGTAGCCGCTCATGTGGGGCGTGTGCGGTGGGGCGTGTGCGGTGGGGCGTGTGCGGTGGGGCACACGTGTGTCGCGACTCGTGGGTAGGTGTATCACCTGGGCACGACGAGGCCGATGTGGTCCCACTCGGAGCCCTGCACGATCTTGATCGTCTGCCGCACGAGCTCCGTGTTGGAGAACAGCACCACGTCGCCCGGCAGCGCACGCAGCGGAATCGCTCGCGACGGCTTACCAAAGTACGCCAACAGTCCCGCCTCTGTAACAGAGTTCGAACACTGCGTCAGTCCACGACGCACGACACGACACGACACGACACGACACGACACGACACGTACGAGGTTGGAGGGACTTTTGGAGGATGATGTGCAATTGGCCGAGGGGCGGCTCGGGAGGCGGCTGCAGCAGGGTCTCGAGCGACCAGGTCTTGGCGGGCGGGCGGAGCGGCAGCCAGACGTCGTGCACGGCCTCGTCTTCGAGCGTCTCGAGCACCACGTAGGCCTCGCCCAGGGCCAGCTCCTGCGCGAAGAGCCGGCCGGCCCGGTTGCGCACGGTGAGGATGAGCACGGCGTTGTCGGCGATGGTCATGGGCAGGTCGTCCTCCTCGGTCAACGCGGCGTCGATCGTGCGTCGGTAGATGAACGTGAGCCCCGCATTCCACACGGGCGTCTTCTCCTCGGCGCTCCACGTTCTGAATTCCTGCACATTAAAATAATAAAATTAACTAATTACCAATTAATTATTTAATTATTTAATTATTTTAATCGTATTATTTATTATATTATTAATAAATAAAAATAATAATGGAGAAAAAGTACGCACTTGGGTGCCGCTGCCCAACTGTACGGCGCAGTAGAGGGCGGGCGTGGTGGTGCCGCTGCCGAAGAAGCCCCAGCCGGTCGAGGTCGGGATCTGCAGATCGCGCGCCTCCACCACTGCGACAATGCATAAATTAATTATCAAAAAACAAATACAAATACAAATAATAAATAATAAAGCCAGAGACGGCGGAGCCTACCGATGCAGTCGACGTAGACGGTGGGCGGCAGCCGGTCATCATCACTTTCCTCGGCCTCGGCTTCGTCGTCGTCGTCCGCGTATGTACGCGACTTCTTCTTTTTTTCGTTTTTGTGGGCGACTTTTTCTTGCCCTTCGTCTTCGCTTTTGTCTTTGTTTTCTTCTTCTTCCTCTCGATCGGGATGACCTGCTGTACGTTCGTGTGCGTATGAGACGTAGCTCGCCTACCCACGTGGGTGGCTACGTGTCGTGTGTGTGCGTGTGTGCGTGTGTGTCGTGTGTGTGTGCGCGTGCGCGTGTGCGTCACAGGTATGCGCGGACGTGGGCGCACCTCATCGGAGGCCTGTGGCTGCAGATCGAGAAGGCCACGGCGCAGTTCCGCCATTGCACCTCCTGCTGGCGGTTCGTCGGTTGCTGACCTCTCCGATTTAGACTTGGCATTCTGCTCACCGAGACCACATTTCATCATCAGATCGCGTGCGTGTCGTGTGCGTGCGTGTGCTGTGTGCGGCGTGTGTGTGCGTGTGCGTGTGCGCTGCGTTGTTGGAAGATCAGATGCGAACCTTCTTCTTGGTCTTTGACTTCTTCTTTTTCTTCCCCTCCTTCTGTGTTTCTTTGCTTCGCGGTGTCAGCGCCTCGCAGCTCTCCCCACTACTCTCCCCGTCCGCCCTTGCGCTACCGTCTTCGCGCCTGTGCTCCTTCGCTTTCGCTTTCTTCTTCGTCTTCTTCTTCGTCTTTGACTTCGTGGTCGTCGTTGTTGTGGAGGTGAGGTCGCTGTCGGGCTCTGCGACGGCGTCTTCCTCCCGCGACGAGAGCCGACCCAAGCCCAGCGCTTCGCGGGCGCGCGTAGGGGTTCGACCAGAGGACTCGCTCTTCTCGCCCGAGCGCCATTGCGCCGCCGACGCCTGCGCCGCGGCAGAAGTCTCGACGGCCACCACCACAGCTGCCGCGCTCGCCTCTGACAACGTCATCCCTGCGTGAAGAGCATGAGAGCTATTAATTGTAATAAACGGCTTCTTGATGATGAGTATATATTAAATAATTAAATTGAAGATCAACGAAAGAGATTCTCCAAGATAATTTCAAATTGGAATTGCGTAGATAAACGCAAGATTATTTTACACGTACGGTGGGTGCCGAGAGAGGGAGAAGCTGGTGCAACCGACGTTGCTCGCTCACGGCCGCCTGGCCGGTCCTCCATCTTGTGTGTTGTCTTGGTGTACAAGGAATGTGAAAGAAAGAAAGAAAGAAATTGAAAATAAAGCGAAATGGATTGGCGGAGAAACATGTTGAGGAGAGAAGCAAGAGCGCTTGATGGAATCGTAGAGGTTGGCACCGTACCTAACGGTGCAGGTCCTTGCATTGGTAGGCATTGTCATCATGAATCAACTTGAGATCAAGCAGCTGGACCTTGCAGGTCACTGTCAGCACCCATCACCATCATTGTGAATCCACCAAACACCCACATGCTCATGTCCTCCTCCTCCTAGCCAGTGGCTGCGCTCTACTGCTGACCAACAAGCACAGCTGAGTGGCCCCAGCGAGGCTTCAGTTGGTCGCACACCAGTGGGATCACAAACATGGAGTCACACCAGTTGTCATGTGCGCGTGACAGCCCATCACTCCCCATTCTTCACCACCCACCACTCCCCCTCCTCTGTTTGTTTGCGCTCAGCCATATGTCAGAAATTCATTTGTTTAGGAAGAGTACAAGTATCAGCTCAGTAAACACCCAGTGCCCTTCTCTTTGTTCTTCACAACCAGGTCTTGCCTTTGCATATCCATGTGAGCCAACCCTGTAGCACACACACACACCACTGCACACACACAGACAGACATACAACATGGTGATGAGAGGGGACATCTGTGAGTGCCCTGGTCAAGAGGAGGATACTGGCAAAGGCAGTGGTGACATTGACATTGAGCTTGGCGCTGGTCTCAATGAAATGCACCTCATGCCCTGACTGCATGCTCATTATGCATGCCAACACAGCACCCTCAGCCTGCGTCACCCGCGATCAGAGTCCCTATCACTCTTATTGCCTGCCACTTGTGTGTCAGTGTGTGTGGCGCGCATGCCAATGTGCCCAGATCTGGGTGGAGTCTCTCGCGGGTAAGTGTACCGACGAGTACAGCACAGAAGGACTTTCTGTCCTTGCATTTCAAGATGAGTCCCCAGTGGTGGTGCTCAACTGTGTGGAGAGTTGAATGGGGATTAGTTCGTGTGAGTGTTCGTTGCTGCCACTGGCTTGCGCTTCTGTGTGTACCTTCATCGAAGCTGGCTTGGTCGGTTATGGAGTACACCAGCACGAACGCGTTGCCTGTGCGGATACACTGGGGCTCGAGTTTCATGAATGAGCCAAGTGCACACCATTTTTGTCTTAAGCCACTGTGTTGTGCAAGTGGCTTGCGCACCTGCTCTGTCACGGGCGGAAACTCTTCTTCGCCCGGCGTGTCCAGTATCTCCTGCACAGGGTGGGCGTGAGCGCCCGTGTAGGCAAAGAAATGCCAACAGGCCAAAGCAACTGTGATGCACACCATGAGGACTTCGTGGCCATTGACCAAGAACTGGCTCCAGTAGTTGTCCTCTGTGTCAGTGAAAAGAGTCACCTGAAGTTGTGGTGAAAGACGCCGTCCATGGGTGGGTGCAATGTGAACCAATGGTGGGGGTGTATTCTTGGATGAAGGAGTCCCCAGAGAGCACATGGGTCAAAGATGACTTGCCCACCCCGGCTGCAACCACAAACACGCGTTGGCTGAACGAGTGAATCAAAGAAGACAGGAATAAAGAACAGCCAATGCACCAGCACCCACGACCACCGACTTGATCCTCCCCACTCTGTTTTTGGGTTCGCCCATGTAGCTAGCCCTTTGTAAGAGATGTCTCACCACCACGCCCTATCTTGTTAGTAGGCCAGAATGCAAGAAATGTTAGTGGTTCACTGAATTAAAAAGCCTCTTTGTGATTATTTTCTTTTTAATCCCTGCCACCCCGCATCGCTTTCTCTTTAGTACCTCCGCACATCGCCATGTACTCGAGGGTCGTGTCGCACACTCGCGTGTTCCCTGACGCTCACCACGTGCTACCAGAGCCTCGCCACACCCCCTTGTCCATGCTCGACGCCACCGTGGCCCGCTTCGCGCCCACCAGCGCCCTGTGGCTGTTCGACCCACCGGCCGAGCCGCGCGCCAGGGCCGCTCTGTCGACCGATCAGCTGACCCTCTCCCTCCGGAAGACCCTCGACGCCTACCCGCAGTTGGCCGGCCAACTGCGCCGGGCGCCGTTCAAGGCCGACGACAGCGGCGACCACACCCAGCGCCACGGGCGATTGCGCCTGACCTACGGCTCGGCCGACGACCCGGGCGTCGAGCTGGTAGTCGCCCGCTTCCCCGGCGCGGTGGCCCAATTGGCCCCGAGTGCAACCGAGCGCGCATCGCGTGCCGGCGGGTGGTGGGACGCGGGCCAGCTCCCATCGGCCGAGCTGCTGTGCCCCGACGTGCCGCTGGCCCTGCACGACATGTCGTCGGCCGACTGGGCGGGACTACCCTGCATGCTGGTCCAGCTGACCACCTTCGACTGCGGCGGGTTGGCGATCGGCCTCCGATTCCCGCACGCGCTGGCCGACGCCCAGACCCTGCTGCGGTTCGTGCACGACTGGGCCGCCGTCAATCGGGCCATGGCCGCCCACGCACCGCTGCCCGAGCTCGCCTCAGTGTTCGACCCGCAGATACTGGACCGCGCGGCCGCGGGCGACATCGACGCCGCCCGGCCCGATCCGGCGCTGGTCGCAGCCGCGCGCGCCCTGCCCCTCCACCGCTACGACTGGTGGGCCTCGGCCCGCGGATGCCCCGCATTCCTGGCCGACGCCGCCCGGGTTCCGGCCGAGCTCGACCCCGCCGCCGTCGGGCCGCTGGGCGTTCCCTTGCCCTGGGCCGAGTGGGACCTCGCCGCCGACGTCGCGCACCACGTGCTCTACTTTGGCGCCGACGAGGTGCATCGCATGTGGGAAGCGGCCACCGCCTCGACCGCCATGACGTCTTCTTCGCCGTCGACGGTGCGCGTGAGCCATCTTGATGCGCTGCTGTCGCACGTGTGGGCGCTGATCATGAGGGCTCGTGGCCTGGGGCGCGACGAGGAGGCGCACCTGGACGTGACCCTGGGCCTGCGCGGCCGCCTGGCGCCGCCGCTGCCAGACGCCTTTCTCGGCTCGCCCATCGTTGTCGCGCGGGTCACCGCTACCGGCGGCCAGGCCGCCGCCACGCAGCAGGACTCAGGTCTGGGCGCGATGGCGGCCGCAATTCGCACCACGCTCGGGCAGTTCAACGCCGCCACGCTGCCGGCGCTGCTCCACGAGGTGGCCCACGAGGCCGGCGCCCAGCGGCTGTGGCACGCCTTCCTGGGCCGACGCCACACGATCGTCACCTCGTGGCTGCGCCTGGACGTCTACGGCGTGGACTTTGTTGGCGACGACGAAGGAGCACCACCGCGCTACGTGGAGGCGGTCATGCCCAGCGTGGACGGGTGCGTGCAGGTCATGGAGGCCGGGCACAACGACAACGACAACGGCGACGCCGGCACGAGCGTGTCGCTGCACCTCGCCGCCGACGTCATGAACAAGCTCCTGCATGACCCGCTACTGCGCAAGTTTGCGCCGCTTCCACGACAAGAAGAATAAGATAAGAATGAGGCATATATCAAGGCTGTACATGTTACAAGGGGAGTGAGTGCCCGGGCCGTCATGGTTGTGAACTGGCCATGAGGCGTTCAGGCCGGCATGAGCGACGATGAGGCGGCGAGCGACAGGGCGGACGAGGACGTGCCTCCGCCGCCGGCGGTCTGCTGGGCGTGCCGGTGCAGGAGCTGCACGATCTCGGTGTAGCCCTGCAGGGTGGCGATTCGCAGGGCCGTGAAGCCGGCCGACGCCGCGGTCACATCGGCGTCGTGATGGAGCAGGATCTTGACCACCTTCTTGTGGTTGTTGCCCGCGGCCATCAGCAGCGGCGTCTCGCCGCCCTCCGTCGTCGAGTTCACGCTGGCGCCTCTGCACAATCACAACCACAACACATCACAGAAATTGATAAATGACGATTGGCACACGGCGGTCGAGAAGAAGAGGAGGAGGAGCGTAGAGAGATGAAGGAGATGAAGGAGATGAAGGAGGAAGGGCACGAACCTAAAGAGAAGCAGCTGTACCACAGCAGCATGACCGTAGCGTGCGGCTCGTTCGAGCGGCGTGCGTCCGTACGAGGTCCTCGCATTTACATCCGCACCACACGACAGCAGCAGTTCAATCTGCCAATTCAACCCGAGCAACTGACGTCAGCGCAAACTCGAGACACGCACACACGCACTCCTGTAAAAGGTGCGCAACACGCACCGTGTCGTAGTGACCCTGCGCCGCGGCAAGGTGAAGAGGCGAGGCCTCCGACTTGTGCGATCGCACATTGACATCGATGTTGAACTCGCGCAGCATTCTGCGCACAAACTGTGTGTGGCCGTGCTTCGCGCCCCAAAGCAGCATCTCCGTTTGGTAGCGTTGCGTCTGTCTGCTCTCCAGCACACACCACACATACAAAACGGTGCATTGAAAGTAGTTTTGGTTAGCACCACCAAGCAGCCCTCAATTGAGGCTCACCACAAGCCAGCGGAGGGCAGTTACCGTTTGATTCGGGTGAGGCCCAGAATGCACTCCTGGTGCCATGATCGGTCGCTGCGTCGGGGTCCGCCAAAGTGCTCCTCTTGCAGCACCTTCCACAGCGTCTCGTCCTGCGTCAAATCCCTGTGGACGCACATTGAAAGACGAAAGACGGCACGGTCAATCAACAAACTCGTTGCAATGAAGAGAATGATGAGAATGCGCCGAGCCCGCGTAGATGTATACCTCCAGTGGCGACAGGTGGCGGGCACGATGGACAGGACGTCGACGGGACTGAGGAAGCTGAAGACATGGAGCTGCACCTCCTCGGGGAGCATGTTGAAGCTCAGGGGCGTGGCGTCCGCCGCGATCGACGCCAGCTCGCCGCTCACGCGCGTGAGCGCCAGCGACGCCGACGAGGAGGACGGAGAAGAGGACAGCGACGACGAGGGCGATGACGACGAGGGCGGAGGCGACGGAGGTGGCGAGTGCGACGACGACGGGTGGATCGTGTCGCCGCGGTTGGGCGTGTTCTTCCGACGACCTCGCGAGCGGCTGCGGCTGCGGCGCGAGCGCGCGGGCGACGACGGGCCGATGATCTTCCGCAGCTTGGGGTTGTTGAAGACCGGGTTGTTGACGACCGTGGCCGACACGCGCCGACCGGAGCGCTCGCCGCCGCTGCCGCTGGCGGGCGGCGGCGGCATCGGAGTCGGTACGCTCTTGACCGCGCAACAGCGGAACAGCTTGCACCGGACCTCCCCTCCTTCGGGGTGCACGGTGGCAGGCGAAGAAGATGAAGATGAAGATGAAGATGATGGATTCTGTGTAGCGGCGGCGGAAGATGGAGCAGCAGCCGGGTTGCGTGGTGGTTGGGTATGGGCGGGAGCGTTTGGTGGTTGGCGGTGGTGAGGGCAGATGGAGGGAGGGCGGGCCTGGACGAGTAGCTGCCCAGTGCGGGGATTGACGGTGAGGCCCACCTTCCAGCCGCCCACGTCGACAAGCAGCTCTGAAGCTGGGGCACCGACGTGAAAGTCATCTCCCAATGCCGTGGCGACGACGTAGGAGGTCGCCTGGAGGTGCGCATTCATGGCGAGTATCCGCTCTCGATCCTTCTCCTCGATTCGATCGCGGTCAGGCGAAAGTAGGGGCGGTCCATCTCCACTCGTTCCGCTCCAAGTGCTATGGCGTGCTGCCTTCACCAGCAGGGGCGGGGGAAATGACATGCGTTGTTGAGGTGATTTCCAATTGATGAAACTTCCTCTCTCTAATGAATCCTTCCAATTGATGGTCTCGATGCACCGCAGCAGGCGGGAGGCCGACCCAGTCCTTCCTCCTTTGTAGCCTCCTTGGCTTCGTGTTCGCAGCGCTAGGCTAACTAAGTGTTGAGATGAGCTGTTGCTGGCTGGAACTTGGGTTTGTCCGTGTGGGTCTGTGCTTCCGTGTCCTTGGCCACTGTCGGCCCGAGCTACCAATTTTTCCGCCATTTACTCCGTTTCGCGCGCTTTTCGTTCGCCGCAACACATTCGCCGCCAACACCAAAGATGAAGATGAAAAAGACAAGATGAGATGCTAGTGCTCAGATGCGTGTTGAGGGATTGAAAGTCTGGTGAGATGTACAATTCAGCCAAAGGATTAGGGGGGTGAAAAAAGAGACGGAGAACAGTTGGAGAGAAGGCACTTAAGCCTCTCCCGCCAGGTACTGTCCTCCGCAAGCTTGTTTAGTGCGGGCTGTTGCTCGACGAGGCGGTAAGAGTCGGTAGAGAGAAGGTAGAAGAGGAAGATGATGGTGCAGAGTCTCTGTCAGTGGCAAGTTCGGAATAGCCTAGCCTCCTCTTCTTAGGGGTACTTGGTCTTGTCCAGGTCGTCGAAGTAAGGGTGCTTGAGGGCTTCCTTGGCCGAGATGCGCTCCTGAGGCGCATACCTCAGCATTTTCTGTTGCGGCAGAGGAGACGAACGAGGTGAGCAAGACGTCTTTTCCTCTTCTTCTTGAAGAACGAGGCGCGAGTGTGTTTTGGCCGACTTCAACTTGCAACGTACCGAGAGAAGGTCGAGGCCAAGAGGGTCGAGACCGGGAACGACGGAGGCCAAGCTCTGAGGCTTCCACTGACCAAAGGTGGACTTGTAGTCGGGAAGAGTAGTGACGCCGGGCCACACCTCCTCGTTGGGAGTGCCGAGAGTCCTGTTTTTGCAAGCAGAGCGGGTGGCGTAAGCGCGACGAAGAGCAAGACTCAAGAAGAGAGATGAAGCGTGATGTTGTACCTGAAGATGCGGAACAGCTCGTCGATCTCGCAATCGCCCGGGAAGAGCGGACGCTTGGTGACAAGCTCGGCAAAGATGCAGCCGACGGACCACATGTCGACGGGAGTGGAGTAGCGAGCCTGGCCGAGCAGGATCTCGGGAGCGCGGTACCAAAGCGTGACCACCTCGTGAGTGTAGGTGCGGATGGGCACGCCAAACGCGCGGGCGAGACCAAAGTCAGCCAGCTTGAGAACGCCCTTGCGGTCGATGAGCAGGTTGGCCAGCTTCAAGTCCCTGTGCAGAATGCGGTGCGAGTGGCAGTACGCGATGCCCTTGAGGATCTGATACAGATAGCTCTGGAAGATAGAGCGTACGTGCAGCAAAACACAACACGTGAGGTCAGCCGACTGCAGTTGTGCAGGGGTAGAGCAATAAAATCGAACTTGCTCGTTCATCTCGATTTGCTGTATGATGGCAAATTCATCAACGAGAAGGGCGGCAACAAACCTTGACCAACTTAGTGGGAAGAGCGCCGGCGCCAGTAGATTCGACGTAGGTCTTGAGATCCTGATCAAGGAACTCAAACACCAGATAGAGGGTCGAGTTGCAGTGAATGACATCGAGCAACCTGGAAGATGGAAGCCGAGGGTGAGTCCGAGTCTTCACCCAACCAGAAGAAGTTGTGCATCGAAGAAACAATGTCAGGTGGGAATGGGTAAGCGGCTTACTTGACGATGTTGGCGCAGTTGGAAAGCTCCTTGAGGAGAGACACCTCGCGCAGGGCGGTGGCAGGCACGCCCTCGTCCTCGGCCTCAAGGAGGCGCATCTTCTTGAGGGCAATGAATCGCTGGTTCTCGGTATCGATGGCCTTATACACCTCGCCATAGGTGCCCTCACCGAGCTTCTCCTTGATGTCGTACCGCTGCAGGGGACTGGGTTTGGCTTGCATCTTCACCTGGCGGTCACCGCTATCGATGTCAGCATCAAATTGAACGAAGAAATTGCACAAAATCAAGCAACATCATGCATTGGAGGGTCGGGAACGTACGGCGTTCTCTGTGTTTGTCGGATGTGATCCTCTTGAGTGTGGGGTGACGCCGCAGTACCTGATGCGGACGATTGGGTTCCCGCGAGATGGAGGGAAGGGAGGTGGGTCGCTGTGGGCGAAGAAGGGACAGACAAGGTCCGTATTTGTGGGTCGCGAAGAAGACCACCGCAACGAGCCTCCGGGAAGCCTCCATTTTGGCGCGAAACGCACTAACGAAATTTGCGGTTCTGGAAAATCCAAAAGAAACCGTTGGTATGCCAACTATTTGCTCACATCATCTATGATGATGGAGGAGGAATTGCGCAGGGAGGTGATGCGATGGGGACCTGTGCTCGAGGAGGTGGCGGTCGCCTCGAGGCAACTGGACCGCCTTCGATCGACTCTGCTGGTACCCCTTGTCCCTGGCTGTCATATCACGTATGAAGATTTTCATCATGATTCCACTCTGATTGCCAGAGTTCGGGCCGCAATGAGACCGAGCTCACGCGAGGCTGGACGGAGGCGAGCCCCGACGCTGCAGCTGAAGTGGCAGCCCTCTACCAGGCCTTCCTGCCGACCCTCCAGCGTGCTATCGCCCCTCTACCCGCCCCCCACGCTTCTGCCCCAGCACCGATGGTGCCTGCCGCCCAGACCGCGCCAGTGGCGGAGACCGTGGCCGACTCGCCTGATGCGACAGCATCAGCAGCAGCGCCCAAGGGAGATGACGCCAGCCCCAAGGCCAGCCCCAGCGAGAATGCGATGGACATTGAACAGCAAGAGCAACACGCGAAGAAAGGGGATGCTGAAAAGACTGAGCCTGATGCAGGAAAGCTCGATGATGGCGAGGCCGACGTGGATGCCTCGGCCCCACCGAGCAAGCGGCGGAGGGTGGAAAAGGAGGAGACCGAGATCGATGAAGAGGATAAGGAGGAGAAGCAAGAGAAGGAGGAGGAAGTGGAAGAGGACGAGGAGGAGGAGGAAAAGGAAAAGGAAAAGGAAAGGAAGAAGAAGACGAAGCAAGACGAAGAGAAGCGACAAGAGGAACAGCAGGCCAAAGCCAAGGCGAAGAAGAAGAGCGAAGACCTGCTCGAAAGAGAGAAGGCGAAGCTGCAGAAGGAGAAGGAGGAGCTCGAGCGAGCGATGCGCGAGCAGGTGGAAGAGGAAGAGGAAAAGGAAAGGGAAAAAGCGAGGGAGAGGGAAAAGGAGAGAGAAAGGGTGAGGGAGGAGAAGCGAGAGAAGGAGCGACTCGAGTCGCAGGAACGCGAAAGAGAGAAGGAGAAGAGGGCCGAGAGGGAAAGAGAGAAGGAAAGAGAGAAGGAGAGGCTCGAGAAGGAGCGCGAGAAGAAGAGACTCGATCGGGAGCGCGAACGCGAGCGAGAGCGGGAGGAGAAGGAGCGGCAGCGGCTGGAGCGGGAGAAGGAGCGGCTTCAGAAGGAGAAGGAGCGGCTCGAAAAAGAGCGCGAGCGCGAACGACGGCGCGACGACGAGGCCGCCGCAAAGAAAGAACGCGAGCGCGAACGCGAACGCGAAAGACTCGAGAAGGAACGAGAAAGAGAGAAAGAGAAGGAAAAAGAGAAAGAGAAGGAACGCGAAAGGCTCGAGAAGGAGCGCGAGAAGGAGGCCCAGCCCACCACCGGCACCGCCACCACCAAACGAGGGCGCGGTGCGCGTGGTGGCGACGAGGGAGGCCGTACGCCGACACTCGATGATTCGGCGCCGACGGCCGGCGGAGCCAATTTCATGGAGGCCGAGCTGCCCGTCAGCAAATCGTACGCCCTTCTCGACGTCCCTCGCCTCCCCCTCCCAAAGCCACACGCGAGCTCGTTCAGCCGCTTGAGCGCGCTCTGACCCATGGTGTGTGGTGTGTTGCGGCAGGCCGGGTCCGTTGTGTGGCGCGATTCGGGCACCACCGGAATATATCATTCCCGTGGGCACACCGGTAGCCGCCAAGACAGTCAAGGTACCCTGGGATTCACCCTGCTAACGCACCATGCGGTGTGGTGTGGTGTGGTGTGAGGCTGGACTCATTTTCGGTGGTCTCCTGCTTGCAGGCAAGCAGAACGCGCCCCGCCGAGTGGCTTCTCGCAACCGTCGTGCGCTACGTCGCCGGTTCGCTCTCTTCTTAAGCAGGCAATGGATTAATGACCTATGTCGTGCGTGCGCACTCACTCACCTCCGCTCTGCGCACAGACAAGCAGCGATACGAGGTCGTCGACGCCGATCCCGAAGAAACCGAGAACAACCGAAAGTACACGCGCGCACACACACACCACACGCACACGCACACGCACTCATCATTCCTCACGTTACCACGCCTTGCTCTTTTATTTATTTTCTCGATCCGCAGGCGCTACCTGTTGCCCCGGCCCTGCGTCATCCCGCTGCCCACCTCGCTCCCCGAGTCATGGTCCAAAGGTGCGCCTGATGATCGGTCAACGCCCACCGAGGCAACCAACTAACACACTTCTGGCCGTGTGTGTCGCTCGATCGTGCAGGCACGCAGTTCAGCAAGGGCATGATGGTGCTCGCCATGTTCCCCAATACCACCGCCTTCTATCCGGCCACGGTGCAAGTCGGGCCACGACGAGTACCTCAGCTCACCTCTTTTTCTCCTCCTTTTCTTTTGGTTCAGTTCTGCCCTTCTCCTCTCACACCGCACACCGCACAACACACGACACACAGCGGAAGGACAAGAACTACGTGCTGCTGTTTGACGACGACGAAGAGGATGGCCAAAAGTGCAAGCGCTACGTGTCCCCTCGCTTTGTCGTCCACTACGACAAATAGGGGCGTACAACCACACCGACACGCCCACATTTTCACAATACACCTGACTCCAAGTTAGCACAGAACACTCAAGAACCAACCATATATGGTGATTCTAGTACATACAGTATGGGGCAGGGTGGGGCAAGGATCTGGGGGAGAGGGTGAGATAGGGGTGAGGGTGATGTTGTGTTCACCCCATCTTTAACTGCAGGGCTTGTCAGGTGGGAGGTGGTTGTGCTCCAGGTACTTGAGGAGGGGAACCATTCATAGCTATTTTGCCAAATGTGGGTGGTAAACAGAAGAAACCAGTCATAGACCACAAAGTAGGATATAGGCAACCAACCAGGATTCGACACTGCCCATCTGCACAATGATTTCTGTGCCACCCATGCAGTAGAACAGGGTGCCCACCCACCAGCCAGACGCCTGCCCAGCCTTCACATGCACGCACACCAAGACAACCTTGTGCTTGCACTTTGAGCAACAATAGCATTGTGTACATGTGTGTCAAAATGTGCAACGGAAAGATGTATGCATGAATCAGCAGGCACTACAATCCTTTGAGAACAGCTGGGACAATGAGTTGTCAGCTTGATGATGAACTTATCTCTCTCCTAATGCCCTATCTTCATGCTTTATCTGCAGCTTTTTTAACCGGTTGGTTTTTACAGGTTGCACGATTCTAACTGGGCCGTGCGAGTAGCGTAGATGGTGCAGGCCCCGGCCTGCAAGACGTTCTTGACGGCCTCGATGGAAGGAAGACGTCTTGCATAGGAACCACTTGCCCTCGCCCGGGTTGCCCACCACCAGCGAGATGTCGGCGCTGGCCGGGAAGCTCTGAGAGATGCTACTGGTGGGGGGGTTTTATGACTGCGCGAACCCGCCCAGCTCCACCAGGTCTTTAGAGGGACTCGTGCGGCCGCCAGATTCTCGTGTTCGTCCTGGGCGCCTTTGTCACGCCTTCTGATTGGCGTGCGTTTGAGCATTGACCGAAACGGCGGAGGGAAATATCAAGGTTCGGCAATTCTGATTTTTCTTTCCACTGCTGCGGTGAAGTGCAGTTGGCCAGGAGCTGTTGGGATTGAGAGGCAGGAAGGACCCGGGTAGCTCAACTGACAGAGCGCCGCATCTCCAAATCGCGGAGGTTGGGAGTTCGACTCTCCTCCTGGCCCTTCTGTTTTGTTGCTTGCGGGCAGCTGGCACACGGCAAGCCAGTTTTGAACAGTGCGTGAAGCACGTTTTTTTTAATGTATTAATTTATTATTTATGTGACAAGATAGAGAACAGGAAATGTTGTTCATTCCCAGAGCAAGTGGGTGGGGTAGACGTCGGGCCGGTGGTGGTGCTGCGGCTCCTGCTGCTCGATGGTCGCCCGCACCGAAGATCGCGACGTGGAGGCGTCCAGGAGGTGGATGTAGTGCGAGATACGCGAGTGGAGGTAGTCGCGCATGAGGTCGTCCTTCTGCATGGTGCCCATGTAGGGCGGCAGCGTCGCCGCTCGACCCACCACCCCGTCCACCACCATGATCTGCCACTTCACCTGTTTCCCACGTGAGTTGTGTGCGTGTGCGTGTGCGGTGGTGCGTGTGCGTGTGCGGTGGTGCGTGTGCGTGTGCGGTGTTGCGTGTGCGTGTGCGGTGTGGAAGATGTACGAGGCCTCGGCGGGAGTAGAGATTCTGAACGCAGCAGGAGACCTGGATGGCGTTGCCGCCCTTTTGGAGTATGTAGCACAGGCAGCGGAATACGGGACCCACGGTGAAGGGCTTCTCGGGGATCCCGATCAGGAGGTGGGCCACCAGCAGCGACATGTTCTCCAGATCGGGCAATATGGAAAACGCCAACTTGCCCACCTCCTCTTCCTGTGTTTATATTTTGTTTTATTTGTTTTATTTATTATTTACTTCATTATTTATTATTTATTATTTCTTATTTCATTTTATGAATGATGACGACAGGGTGGTGGGTAGTGTACCGTGGGGAACAGGCTGAGAGAGGCATAGCCGGGCGAGGTGTAGAGGACCCTCGGCAGCCCCAGGCCCTGGAAGTCCTTGGGTTCCGGGATCTGCATCGCAATGAATGCTTGACTATCATACGACACGCACACGCACACGCACACGCACACGCACACGCCCACGCCCACGCACACGCACACGCACACGCACACCACACCACACATACACACACACAATACCGATAAGACGACACCGCACCACACATACACACACACAATACCGATAAGACGACAGAGCAAAGCGTTGATGGAAATATAGAAAGTGTCGACGACGCACTGAAGTGTGGTTACGACGAGCGGGATGGTAGTGAAGTCGTAGTCGGCGAGGAAGGGCATGACGTGCTCGAGTGCCAGCGGCGCCGGGTTCCTGGGGATGCCCCGCGATCCACCACCACCGCGGAACGCGGGCCACCAGTCGTCGCCGCTGCCGCCGCCAAAGCGAGAGTCGGTCGGCCACGGCCACGGTCCCCCCGACAATGGGCTGTAGCCCGTCGCGTAGGTCGATGTCATCGTTGGCTGGCGGGCGGTGGGGCCGAGCTGCTGGTCGAGCGGGTGAGCCGCGGGCTGCTGACGGCTGCTGCTGCTGCGGTGGCGACCCCCGTAGGGGTCGTCGTCGTGAAGGCCGTCGCGTTCGTCGGCCCGCTCCTTCCGCTTACGAATGGTGCGGCGATGAAGCTCCTCCCACTGCGCTCGCATGAACTCCTCCTGCTCTCTCTGCCAGCGGTCCTGCATTCCTAATCTCAGTCGTGTGCGCGCGCGCGTGTGTGTGTGTGGTGTGTGTGTGTGGCCGTGTGTGTGTGTGTGTGGTGTTGTGTGTTGTGTGGTGTACCGGTGGCGGAGGGGGTGATGGCACTGGCTGATAGCTGGGCGGGGCGTAGGGTTCGACCGCCAGCCCGTCCTCGGGCACGCCAGCCTGGGCGATCGACGTGCGGAGGAGCACCGGCAGCGGTGGAAGCGCCGCCGACGATGGAATGCGAGGCAGCGGCTGCGACCTCGCGTAGTGGTCAAAGTCCTCGCGCTGCGCCGGTCCATCCGCCACCAGCGCCGACATCAACGATTGCGATGACGATGACGATGATGGCCAAGATAACGAAAACGAAGATGATGAAGTCAGCGACGACGATGACGACGAGGGCGAGGATGATGACGAAGATGGCGGAGATGACGCGTCTGGAGAAGACGATGCTGAAGAATAGTCCAGCGGCCCTCGGGTCGTCGCTGACTGTGGCTGAGGCTGTGGCTTTGGTTGTGGCTTTGGTTGTGGCTGCGGCTGTGGAAGAGTCTGAGGTGGTGGCTGGGGCTGGGGCTGTCGTGCGGCGGTTTTGGGCGGCCGTTGGGAGGACTGCGGGGTCGCTGCGAGCGCGGCGGGGCCAGGCTGAACGTGTTCAAGAATGGCGACATGTCCTGCACCTCATCTACAACGCGAAGAGAGCATCGATTCCCACGTGAGCGTGTGCCGCGTGCGGGTGCGTGCCGTGTGCCATGTGCGGTCGGTGTGTGCACGTGTGCCATGTGCAATGTGCTTTTGATCGAACAAAAAAAAAAGAGGCAAACCTGGGGTGTTGGGTTGTGAGTGGAAGAGCTGCTTGGTGGGCGGGCGGCCTCGCTTCTTGGGCGGTGCAACCTGGCATTGGCTCGCAGCGTCGCCGCCCATCGCGATGCACCTCCCGCAGGGCAATCGCCTGGCGCCCCGGCAAACACGCAAAAGAGACAAGCATTTAATATCTTTATTTATTCGTTGATTTTATTTTAATCTTAATCTTGAAATAAATAAATAAAATCACTGCACCGCCCCAAAAAGATGGGAGGGGTACCTGTCGCACGCGGAGTGGGCTTTGCGGCAGGGGGCGCAAGCGGGTCCCACCACCCACAGCTGCTCCACCTGCTGCTGCGTTGATCCTGCAGCTGCCGCTGTTGCTGCAGCCGCTGGCGACGGCCGTCGGTCCCTCCTCTTTTTACCCCCGCCCCCACTGCTGCCTGCGATGCTCGAGGGGCCTTCCATCTCGACCAGTGAGTGGTCTCTTCCACTTCAAGAGGTGATGGTGGCAACAGAGGTGTTTTGTGGCCAACTCTCGCAGACACCAAGCAGATCCGGACGACCTGAACCAACCCGGGAAAAGTGTTTAGGTGGGCCTCGGGCTGACCGGTCTAGACCACGGCGGCCACCTATCAGCGCCCGCCTCCTTAGTTCGCTCTTGCGCTTGTGGGTGTGGCGCGAAAAGAAGAGGTGGGTTGGTCCGCGGTCCCGAGCAGGTGGCCGACGGCGTAGACGTCCATTGAGTGGGCACGGTGATGGTGCTGATGGTGGTGGTCGATGGTGGCTCGCACGGAAGATGATGGCGCATGTGGCGAAGTGGACGGAGAGGCGGTGCCCAGGAGTAGGTTGATGTAGTGGGCGACTCGCGACTGGAGGTAGTCGCCCATGAGGTCGTCCGTCTGCATGGTGCTCATGTAGGGCGGCAGCGTCGCCGCTCGGCCCACCACCCCGTCCACCACCATGATCTGCCACTTCACCTGTTTCCCGCATGAATGAGTCCAGTGCACGTGTCGTGTCGTGTCGTGTCGTGTCGTGTCGTGTCGTGTCGTGTCGTGTCGTGTCGTGTCGTGTCGTGTCGTGTCGTGTCGTGGACGTACGAGGCCTCGGCGGGAGTAGAGATTCTGCACGGAGCAGGAGACCTGCATGGAGCCTCCGCCCTTTTGGGACACGTAGCACAGGCAGCGAAAGACGGGACCCACGTTGCTGGCGTCGGCCGGCTCGATCAGGAGGTGGGCCACCAGCAGCGACATGTTCTCCAGATCGGGCCGAATCGAATGCGCTGTTCTGCCCACCTCCTCATCCTGCGCGCAACAAACGAAATCAGACAACGGTTACCGCACACGACACGACACGCAACACGACATAACACACGACACACGACACACGAACCGTAGAGAATTGGCTGAGAGCTGCGTAGCTTGATGATGTGTGGACCACGTTGGGTAGCCGCAGGTCTTGGACCCTTCTGGGCTCCCATATCCGAAAGGCGATGAACGCTTGACTGTCGCACGCGCACAACACAAGACACGACACGCACACACAACTGAGTAGGGGCGGCACAAGCAGAATGGTGTCAACGTACTGAAGGGTGGTGACGACGAGCGGTGTAGTGGTGAAGTCGTAGTCGGCGAGGAAGGGCATGACGTGCTCCAGCGCCAGCGGCGCCGGATTCCTCGGGATGTCCCTCCTGGTGCCACCATCTCCAGCCCCGCTCAGCCTGCTCCACCAGTAGTCCGTGGTGGGCCGCCGCTCGAACAGCTCGTCCGTGATGGGCCGCCTACCCAGCAGGCCACCGCCAAAGCCCGTCGCCGAGGTCTGCGTTGTGGTTGTGGCCGAAGCGCTGTCGCTAGACTCGTCCGCCACGAAGTGCTCGTCGCGCTTGCGCTTCCTGAGGCTGCGCTGTAGTTCTTCCCACTGCAGGCGCATGAACTCTTCTTGGCCTCGTGCCTGCCAAGCAGCCGGCTGGGTGTCCTGTGGAAGTTCGGTCACGTGTGTGCGGTGTGCTCCGCCCGAGGCCAAGGGAAGAGGGAGGCTCGGTAGCGCGCAGGGATGGACGGCTGCCGCGCCAGGCAAGCCCGCCTGGGCGATCGACGTGCGGAGGAGCACCGGCAGGGCCTCAACGGCCAGCGGGCGTCGATCGCCGCAGTTGGGCGCCTCCGCTGTCGACACTGATACAATCGAGGCCGCAGTCAGAAGCATAGGTGTGGGAGCGGATGGGGTTGGCGAGCATGACGCTGATTCCGTCGATGACGGTGGTTTCGATGGTCGTGGTGAGGGTGATGCTGAATGACTGTGTGTAGGGGAAGTTAACGAATGTGCTTGTGAGGAGGAGTTTGTGTTGGAATTGGTCTTAAGACGGCGCGACGGGACGAGGCTGAAGCTGCTCATGAACGCCGACATGGCCTGCGCCCCGCCTAAACCCGAGGAACAAGGTTATTGACCCAAGGTCAGCCATGAACAAGAGAGCCCGATGAAGTGTTTCCAATGTGCCGGGCTCGCGCACCATATGTGGCGGTGGGCTCCGAGACAGGGCGCCCCCTCTTGCGCGGGGGCACCACCTGACAGTCGGTGGTGCTCAAGCCCAGTGCTTGGCACCTCCCACACGGCGATCGCCTGACAAACATGTTAGGGTCAGTTGGTGAACACAATGAAAGAGGGCGCAGCACCTGTCGCAAGCAGCGTGAGCTTTGCGGCATCGGGAGCAAGCGGGTCCGACCAACAACATCGGCTGATGCTCTTCCTGCTCTTGGCGCTCCGTGGTGTGACTGTGGGTGACCTGCCTTTCTGACTGGCGACAGCTGCTGTACTGGTTGGCAGCCTTTTCATGCGCCGGAACATCATTTTTAAATCATTTAACCTTTTTCTATTATATTCTATTTGCACCACTTGGCCATGTCTTGTACGTCTGCAACGTGTGGATGACCGCTTTACTTTTATTTGTGTCGATTTTACAAAGCCTTTCGATTGTAATATGCCTGATTTCTGATTAAATCGTGGGGGGGGGCAGTCCATCCACTGTGGTTCCAGTTGGGTTGCCTCTCGGGGGCGGTAGGCGTCCTGCTGGGCGCGTTTGGCGCGCACGCTCTGAAGACCAAGCGAAGCGAGGCCCTCATCAAGACGTGGGAGACGGCCGTCCACTACCAGTTCATCCACGCCATCGGCCTGCTCGCAGTCGCCTTCGCCCCTCGCGAGTCGCGCATCGCCGGGTGGTCCTTCGTCGCTGGTACTCCCCACCACCAAACCCTTCTGCGCTCCCCACCCTGACGTGTGCGTGTGCGGTACGCGCGAGCAGGCACGGTGCTGTTCAGCGGCTCGCTCTACGGGCTGGTGCTGACCGAGCAGCGCAAGCTGGGCGCCATCACGCCCATCGGCGGCCTCCTCTACGTTGCCGGATGGCTCGCCCTCTTCTGGCAGGGCACTGTCTAAAGCCACAACGTGCGTGTGCGTGCGTGTGTCGTGTCATAAGAGCACGAACACGAACGACGTAGATGCTTTTCTTGGGGGGTTGGGTTGCTTCGTGTGGTGCGCTCCAGTGGTTTATTAGAGGCCAGGTGTGTGTGGAACAGCAATGGCAGACCACCGCTTAGAGGTGGTTGATGACGGCCTTGGTGAACTCCTTGGTCGTGGCAAAGCCGCCCACATCCCTGTCGTCATATATGATGGCACCATCGGCGGTCAGGCCCAGGACGCAACACGCAACAGGCAACACGGCGCGGCAGATTCCAGGAGATGAGAAGAAGGGCGGCGCGCGTACTTGGTGAGGACCTTGCCGCGGAGGAGAATATCGTGGATGGCCTTCTCCAAGCGGCCGGCCTGCTCGTTGAGGCCCACGTGTCGCAAGAGCATCACACCGGAGAGGAGCATGCCTGCGCACGAGAAGCGAGGTAATGTTAGGAATGCATGCGCTTGGCCCACAGCGGAGCGCACGCGTCGGCGGCGGCGGTGGCGGCGGCGGCCGGTAGGCCAGGCGTACCGGTGGGGTTGGCGACGTTGGCGCCCTGGATGTCGGCAGCGACGTGTCGCGCACCGGGCTCGAACACGGCCTCGCCGTGGAGGCCGTAGTTGGCGCCGGCCACGAGGCCAGGGCCGCCGACCAGACCGCTGCCCACGTTGATGATCAGGTTACCGTACAGGTTGGGCGTCACCTGCAAAAACAATTAATGAACGTGTTGTGATGAGCAGCGTTGAACGAATCACAGAGAAAGAAGGCCGGCCGTACCAGGACGTCGAACTGCTTGGGGTTCTGGACCAGCTGTGGCATGGCAAAAAAGAAAGGAAAAGAAAGAAAAAGAAAAAGAAAAAGAGATTAGCAGAGCAGTGATTGAATAGAGTCTGGCGGTGTTGGTGATGACGACGGGTACCTGCATGCAGGTGTTATCGATGATCATCTCCTTGAACTCGACGGTGGGGTACTTCTTGGCGACCTCCCTCACGCTCTCCAGGAACAGACCATCGGACATTTTCCTGCGCGCGAGAAGCGACGGGTACGGATCAGTAACGAGCACGCGCCCGAACGCCGTGGTGACTGACTGGGGTCGCGCGGAGTGTATGAAGAGGGGGGGCAGCGGTACTGAATGTTGGCCTTGTGGATGGCATGCACGCGCTTGCGGCCGGCGGCAGCGGCATAACCGAACGCGGCCTCGGCGATGCGGATGCAGGCAGCGCTGTGGTCAAAGGTCGGTACAACAACCGGGAGAAGTGGCCTCGAGTTGGGGGAAGGGGGAGGTGGAGAAGCCAGCAACGTACCGGGTGACGACCTTCAAGCTCTGCACGACGCCCGAGGTGACCTCCTGCTCGAAGCCCGAGTACTCGGCCTCGGTGTTCTCGCGGAAGACGACCATGTCGATGCCCGAGTGCCTGGTGGTGATGCCGGGCAGGCTCTTGATGGGCACGATGTTGGCGTAGAGGTCTGCGCGAAGAAGAAGAAGAAGAACGAGAAGACCGTGAATGAGCCGAGTGCCACAGGGCAATCAGGCGAGGAGACGATAATGAAAGAAGCGAGGCGTACTGAGGGACTTGCGGAGAACAAGGTTGTTGTTCTTAAAGTGCTCGCTGTCCTCGTAGTCGGTCTTGAGCTGACCTGTGTGCACACATAGAGACGGCGTAATCAGCAGGGGACGGTGTGTGTGTGCGTGTGTGTGGATCGATCTACGCACCCTTCAGGCAGAGCTGGTTCCTGGCAAGCGAGGTCAGCAGATCGAAGTTCTGGGTGATGTCGCCGACACGCTCGAAGACCTCCCACTTGATGGGCACGCGCAGAGCTGCAGAGCCAACGCACCGCACCGCCCACACGAAACGAAACGAAACGAACGAAACGTGAGGAAAGAGGAAGTTGTGCGCACACGTCAGCAAAAGTGGCGGCCGGCGGCAGCACCGGCCCAGGTCTACTGCCGATAGACAGGAGGAGGTGGTGGGAAGAAGTGAAGAGCATCGAGAGAGAGATGGAGAGAGATGGAGAGTCGTGCCTCCGAAAAACGCCAACGACAGAGTCGGCGATTTCCTTGCCGATACCGTCACCGGGGATGAGGGTGACGGGAATCTCGGAACCGAGGGCGAGGCCCCTCCTCACGCCGGTCGAGAGGGAGGCGGGAGGCGCCTCGGTTCCCGTCGAGGTGGCCAGCATGCGCTGCGACCCCACCTGACGGAAGATTAATGCAGGAATGAGAGTGAGCGCTAATTTTAGAGAATGAATAATTGAACGACTGCAAGAGAGCAAGATTGATTTTCGATTAAAATTTAGATGAAGGAGCAGACAAAAGGAAAGGCCGCGAATCGTGACGGTGAAAGGCGAGCGTGAGCACAACCATGCAGAAAGCCCAAAAAATTGGCACGGTTGCTCAACTTGGCCGCGGACGGGGGGGATCGTACGGAAAGGGTGCGAGCATTGCAGGCAGCGCTGGTGCTGGTGCGGCTCAAAGCGACGGCGGATGTCCTCCTCATGTTGCTGATTGATAGATTTAATCTGAGGCTGCCTTCAATTCGAGTGTCCGCTCGCGCAGAAAATGTTCCGTCTACAGGAAAAGAAAATGCATTTTTATTTATAGTATTTTTATTTTTATTTTTATTTTTGTATTGAACCCAGATGGAGGAGAAGAAGCCCACCACAACGACCACGCCCACGATGGCAGCACGCCCAGGCCCAACAGATAGGCGCCCGCACCCTGTGGGCCGCCCAGGTCACCATCATCCTGGCGCGGCAGGACACCACCCTGCGGCCGCAGGGCTGGCGGGGCTGCGTAGCGGCCCTGCAGCGCAGCACCCTGCTACGGTCCCCGTAAATGCACCGCCCCATCGCCTGCTTAATCCGACACAAGATGGTGCTAGCGGCATCGAAATCGCTGGCTGGCGTGTAGCGGCCACCAAGGGGCGCATCCTCAACTCCACCGAGCTGGAAGAGTACGCCTCCCTGATCTTATTGAATTCATTATTGCATCGAAGATAATGACTCAATGGAGGATCGGCACGCAGTTGGGAGGAGAGCCTGGCAGTGCCGTGTCTGCCCGAGATGGTGTTTGGCCACAGTGCGCTCGAGCTCGCGCACGAGCAGAGTGGAGTGGTGCTCAAGTTCCTTGTACGCGATGCGCTGCGAGAGTGGAAGCACGACCACTCCTCCCTCAAGGTCGCCTACTCTCACCAGTGGACTTCGCAGAGGTAACTTCATTCGCCCTTGTGGCAACGCCACACGCGCCACGCACGACGGCCGCCTCACACCACTCTAGGTCGAGCGAAGCGCGCAAGGTGGGACCCGACTATGACTGGACATTCACCACCGAGTACAAGGGGACCATCTCCGCTCCGGTGGCGGAGGGCGCAGATGCGGCATCGGCGGTGGTGGGTTCGCTCGTGGAGACCGAGGAGAAGATCGACCTCGACCGGCTGCGCGTCCCCGAGCCCATGCTCTTCTTCGACGAGGTGGTGCTGTTCGAGGACGAACTCGCCGACAACGGTGACTCCTTCCTCTCCGTCAAAGTCGTACGTGTCCAACCCCCAGCAACGTTGCGACTGGGCTTCGCGCCTCTGCCTCGCTCCCGCGCGATAGCTGACCGTGTGTCTTTACGTGTGTTGTGTTGCGTAGAGGGTGATGCCGAGCTACTTCTACGTCTTGCTTAGATTCCACATGCGCGTGGACGACGTGACCATGCGCATCCACGAGTGCGGCCTCCCCTTCTACTTCTGCCACGTCACGCGACCATGCCTGTCTTTGCTGATATCGTTGTGCCATCTATTCTCTGAAGCACGCGGATCTTCCACGAGTACGGATCGTCGCACCTGCTTCGCGAGTACCAAACCCGAGAGGCCACCTACCAGCAGCTCGCTCAGCAGGGCGTACGCTCCACCGCCCACTTTCTCCTCTCTTCGTGTGATGTGCACCTCACGACTCACAACGTCGCAACACACACGACCGCACGCATGCACACAACACACGTCGGACGCTACGTACAGAAAATGCCCTCCGATCTGAGCCAGCTGACGGACTCCAACTTTGTGTGGACCATCCTGCCCCTCACCGGCTCGACCACCCACAAGATCCTCCTCTCCGCTGCCGCCCCTTCGGCCAGCGCCACCCCCTCGACCACCACCGACGTCGCGAGTGCGCCGGAGGGGCTGGACAAGGACCTGGCCCACCTCACCATCTCCTCGTGAAAAGGGCATCCTTGCCATAACTGGAAGAAGGCGCCGACATAACCTCGTTCAAGGACGCGCGTTCGACCGAGGAGGAAGACGGCAATTGCAGGTGGCCAAGTGGTGTGTGGCCAATGTTGCGTCACGAAGAGCGTTCGAAGAAGGTAGTTCTTGGGACGTCAGCTTCCCGTTTGAACAATCGTGGTGAATAATGAAATTTCGGAGATTGCGACGTGCACCAATATGAAGGCGCCATTGGTTGCCTTATTCGGTGAATCAGCCCCCACTTACCTCGTTCTTCCGGTTGTTGGGTTTGCTGCACCCCCCCCCCGGCCAACGAACACAAGGGCAGACCACAAAGACGGACGTCAACCCATCTACCTGCCAGCCGCAGCTTGGTCCCATCAATCAGATCTCCCATCATCTCCATCGTACGATTTTCCTTTCTGCTAGGGAGGGCGAAACTATTGCCGATCGGCTGCTGGCGCGCTCGTAATGGAATGGAAGAAGAATTCGAGCAACTAGAAGAAAGAAGAATGGCTAAGATCCGCTTATGCCTATCCTCGCTACTTCGCTAATCTCGGCTTTGTTTAATTTATAATTTATCAATAGTGTATTCTTTGATCAATGGCGGCGACACATCCTCCCGCGGGCGGCAAGCAAGCCTACGATTATCTCATCAAGCTGCTCCTCATTGGTGACAGCGGTAAGTTCCTCTGCTTGTCCACAGAAGCTGCATCATCTTCTCGTCTCTCTTGAACAACCGCTCATCCAGCCTTCCTCCAATTTGCGTAGGTGTGGGTAAGAGCTGTCTCTTGCTGCGCTTCTCCGACGACTCCTTCACTCCCAGCTTCATCACCACCATTGGGTGCGCCCTTCCCCCCCAAGTAGTCTCCTTTCGTTCATTAATTCTTCATGTAGAGGGCACCCCTCCACACCCCCCGCCTATTCTCACCCATTCTCGCGTGCAGCATCGACTTCAAGATCCGCACGATTGAACTTGAGGGCAAGCGCATCAAGTTGCAAATTTGGGACACTGCTGGCCAGGAGCGGTTCCGTATGTTGCCCTGCCCCAGCATCCAACTCCTTCCCCTTTTCCTGCTCTTTTTTTTTTGTGTGTTTCCACTCTCCCCCCTCTCGCTCCTTCGCTCTGCTGCTGTGCTGGTGAACGGGAAGCGGCCGACACTCACCGTTCGTTGGTCCGCCCGTACTCTATACACAGGAACCATCACCACGGCGTACTACCGAGGCGCCATGGGAATTTTGCTTGTGTATGATGTCACCGATGAGAAGTCCTTCGGCAGTACGTGCTCCCTCCTTCTGGTGATGTAGTCGTGTTCATGAAGTGGTCGTGTGGTGGCCTCGGATGCAACGGTTTGGTGGCGTGCATACTTGCGTGCTTGCATACTTCTAGAGAATGTGTGTGCGTGTGGCGTGGTATGCATAGCACGGATGGTGACTCATCTTGATGTAAACAGATATCCGCAACTGGATCAGGAACATCGAGCAGCACGCCACTGAATCGGTGAACAAGATGCTGATCGGAAACAAGAGCGACATGGTCGACAAGAAGGTACGCCGCTCCACCACTTCCCCCTTTGGTTTCTTTTTTTGCGCCACGATTGGACTAAGCCAAGTACGCTTGCCGGTGCCGTGTTGCAGGTGATCGACACTGCTCGAGGCAAGGGTTTGGCGGACGAGTACGGCATCCGGT